ATTTTATGTTTGTCGGAATTTGGTATACGTTTAAGTTGAAGTAAACGTGCATGGAAATAATTTAAATATTTGATACAAAGTATTTGTAATGCTTGCGGTATGAATTCGTTGGTGACGTGTATATGTAATAGATGATTTAGAGGTAAAAGTTTTTTGGATATTTTATTTATTTTATATGTGGAAATGTTCATATTTAGAAAGGGTAATACTTTTTCGCGATCAGGTAATTTCATATATGTTCTTTTACCGGGTTTAAAGATTGAGAAAATTGTCATGTATTTTTGTGAAATTTTTCTAATTTATGAGAAAAAGCAGTGTACATGGATATAGTGAAGAGTTGTGCGCAATGCCATTTTTGTGCAATTCTGGGATGTTTTTTAAGTAAAAAAATAAGTCGGCGTGTACATGGTTTATGTGTATGTGTTATTTTGAAAAACGCGTAAGGTGTATGGTATTGTGCACTTTTTCCCAATTTTGCAGTGAATATTTGTCATGATTAAGCAGTTTTGTTAGATAAAATTTCTAGCATAAGTGTAATTCGGCTAGTAGATTGTTGGAAGAAGTGTTCAGTAGATAAAAAGAAAAGAAACATGTCTTTACTTTGTGAAGACAAAATGGCGGCGGGAAAAAAAAATAGAGGGTTGTTGTAGGAGAGTTGGTCGCCAAATTTTCGCCAAAAAAACGCCAAGTTACCATAATGTAAAGATCAACCTTTTTTTTTTTTTTTTTTTTTTTTACAAAAGCAGGTGAAGTGATCCCTCATGCCACATATTGGGCAGATTGCATAACCCTAATTATATTATCTCTGAATGAAACACAATTAAAAGATGAGTGATGGCATTTACGTTTTAGCTCAAACACCTTTGTAAAAATTGCCAAAATTTCAGAATGCACCAAACTGTAACAACCATGAGCATATCAGCTGTTTAGTTTAATTTTTTTTGTTTATTATACAGTTATTATTTATCTTCAGTGGTTTTTATGAACAAATCATGATATTTTTTTCTTAACTCTACAAAGGTTGTGGCTATAAAATTCCACATAGAAGAGTGACTTGATTACATATGAAAAATTTTACCTGCTTTTAATAGATTGGATTTTGGGTTTCGGGAAAGGAGTCAAGATATAATATGTGAGAGGGTAATTTTGAAGTTATAATAATAATAATAATAATAATAAAACACTTACTCATGCCTCTTTGAACTTTAGGATTTACTATCAATAGAAGATATTACTAGTTTTCAACACAAGTACTCTATTTTTTTGTAAAATTGCTTAAGGAAACAGTTATTTTGAGTCTATTCTTAAAGCAATCACTAAAACAGAGCAAAATAAATAAGAAAGAAATTTATACCAGAGCAAAATAAATAAAAATAATGAAAACTAAAAGAAGCTAAAATTTAAGTAGGTTTATTGATTGATTTTTTTTTTTTGGTAATTATCTGACTAAAATGACAGATATATGTACATGTGTGTATATAATAAAAATAGTTTTTTTTTTTTTTTTTTTTTTTTAATTTTGAGTCATCATTTGTGTTGTTCTGTAAAAAAAATTGTAAACTCCTGCAAACAGGGTTGCCACGCTACCTGGAAAACCGAAAAAGTCAGGGAATTCGGAAATTGACCAAAAAATTCAGGGAAAAGTCAGGGAATTTAAGTGTTTTAGTCAAAATCTGGAAAAAGTCAGGGAATTTCATACAACGATCCCGCCAAAAAAGGCGAGTTTTGCGCCGACGTTGGAAGAGATAACTTTTTTGGCGAATTGTGTATCACGTGAGTGTCATTCGGGCAGCTGGCATAGAGCCAATTTTCGCAGCTCGAATTTGATTGTCTTTTAAGAAAGGCAAAGCAAGTTTCCCGCAACTTTTGGTTTCCAGTAACCTCGAGAATCGCATGTGCAGTGCATGAACTAAAGAAAGTACCTGTTCTCGTATAAAACAAAATGGGTTTAATCCTAGTATATAAACGGACCATGAAGGTTAGAATTAAAAAAATATGTAAAGAAGGAAAACCTCTCTGCAACAGACGTGGCTCAGTTCCATCATAGCGGGAAACAGCTGTGCATGCGCGATATATCTGTCGCCAAAGCTCGAAACCAGTGTCGAAGTTCGAAGGTCAGGTTATCAGGAGTTCATAAAATGAATATCGTTTAAAATGTCTTTAAAGGAAAAGAAAATATTTTTTGGCGCAAGTAACTTAATTCATGGATTAGTTATTTTGAGGGGGGAAAAATCTACGAAAATCCGTTTTTAAAATTATTGCGAAAAGTCCAAGAAGAAACGTTCTTTGATGAAACGTTTCTTCTTGGATTTTTCGCAATAATTTAAAAACAGATTTTCGTAGTTTTCGTTTTTGTCAAAGAACATTTCGTCTTAACACGTGTTTCTCAATTTCCTGTACACATCGCGGAGAGGGAAATTCTGGCCGTTCCGTTGTCAAATCCCTTGGCAAATTTTCCCTCCGCTTTTTACATAGACGTTCTTTGGTCAGAATAATCTCCATGTATGGTACAGCGGGATTTGGCGACATGATGATGAGCAGTAAACGGGTCATTTTGTTCTTGGCGACAATTTTCAAAATCATGCGAAGGCCGTATCGTATACTAGGAATTTACCGCAAAATCTTTTTTTTTTTTCCTTTTTAATAAATACCTTGTCATTTTGCAGTAAAATAAAAAAATAGTAATCAATCATCTAGGATAACCATGTAATATTCGCTAAAATATCGTTGATTATTCTAATTAAATTTTTAAGTAATTATCTTTATTTTTATGTTATTCATATCATTTAATGTTGCTTCTTTCCTCTAAATTTATTTATCATTAGTAAATAATTCTCTGGCATAATTCTGAAGGCGATAAGGAGCGCGCCTTGCGCCCTCCGATAAGTGTGGCAACCCTAGAGGAGAAATTTCTTACGAGTAGCGAGCAGAGCGAAACAGGCAGGCTGTCGGGCAATGTGCGCGAAGTTCCGAAATAAAGCTTAATTTTTATTGTGCACTATGTCTTGTTAATATTATATTAATGCAGTAAGAACATAATCTGTGATATGGAATTTGAGGATTGGTGGTAAAAACATAACCGGAAATCTCCTTTGCAGTAAAATAAAAAAATAGTAATCAATCATCTAGGATAACCATGTAATATTCGCTAAAATATCGTTGATTATTCTAATTAAATTTTTAAGTAATTATCTTTATTTTTATGTTATTCATATCATTTAATGTTGCTTCTTTCCTCTAAATTTATTTATCATTAGTAAATAATTCTCTGGCATAATTCTGAAATTAATTCTAGCAGTATGATGACATCACAAAATTTGATGCACATATTTTTTCCTTATGTATGCTGTGAAATAAATATAAAATACCTCAATTTAGTAAAAAAAATATCATTAAATAGATTTCTTTCTTTTGTGTAACTGCAGAATGTCTGCAAAAAAAGCCTTATTTTATTCCAGATTGGGCAGATTCTAATCTCAATCTTCAGTAGAGAAAACAACAACTCCAATTATAATTATATTTGTGTTTTCAAGTGTTGGTGCCTTTTAAGAATACACCTCACACAAAATTAAATTTACCTAAAATCTAACCTAACTTTAGCATTGCGTTGTGATTTATAAGAACCGGATTAGCCTCGTGTTGAACTGGGGATGAATTGAGTAATAATTAAATAAAACGTACAGTTGGTTATCCAATGTATATATCTTAAATTTTATTAAGTTTTTTAAGCGGAAAAGTAAACAAAATTATCAAACAAAGTGTACCAAGAATAATTAAAAATAAATGTCCTCTGGGATTTATTGAATAATTAAGTGAATTTGCTACACAGTACAAGTAATACCATAATTAATTTACCTCTTAGCACAGCCAACGTACATTACGCGGATAGACTGGAATTTTCTCGAAACATACCTGGAAAACCTGGAAAAGTCAGGGAATTTCATTTTCCTGTTTGAGTGGCAACCCTGTGCAAATCCTTAAGTATCATTTTAATTCTGCATGGAAGATTTGGAATGAATTCACAGAGTATGCTAGATACATTTTATTAAAAAGACTTCCAGGAATCTTCCTATCCTCTTTCATTTTGATCAGCATAATCTAAATAACAATTATGAGGCATGTATTATTTCTGATGGTAAAGTTAGTACTTCCTTGTTACAGCAATTACTAGACAGGAGGTAACAGTTTTGGTAACAGTTTGAGAATTGCTGCCGATTAGGTGAACAAGTGTAATTAGCAAATATAACTACCAAATTTAACTAATAACTAACTGCAGTGGTCTCTTTAATGAGTAAATACTATAAAGTTTATTACTTGTGGAGTTTATATTTGTTAGTAAATATACACTGAAATGCTACCGAATTAGGGATAGCAAGTCAGTAATGAGCTAGGATCCATTATCATAACGGCTGCCACATGATGAGGTAGAGATTCATTAAATTTGTGGAAGCATTCTATGGAATGGCTTGACAAACATCAGATAGAGCTGTTCCTAATTCAGGAAGGGTTGATAGTATTGTGTGATGGTTTCATACCTTTCTGTAAAGTATCCAAAAGGTGCTCAGTAGGATTTAAGTCGGGGCTTCTAGGTAACCTATTCATGAAGAATGCTCATCCAACCAGGCAGTAGCCAACCATGACCAGTGAGAGCTGCAGCTATCTTGCTTGAATACTCCATTTCCGTGTGAATGACAGGACAACATAAATGATGTTGATCACCCAGCAGATGTATGTACTGAATTGAGGGAGGTTGGTACAAAAACCAAAAGATCCCAAACACTGCCAAGAGGAAACACTCAGACCATGATTTAGCTGCCATGGCCTTCTACAGTTTCAATTTGGCATGCAGGATCCATGGCTTCATGAGCCTGATGCCATATACTCAGCCTTCTGTCGGTGTTGAGTAGTTGGAATCAAGACTCATCACTTCATGCCAATCGATTCTGGTCCTCTAGAGTTCATTCTTTGTGTTCTCTTGCCCGGATAAGTTCAGAACCTCGATGCTATGCATTGGGTCTGCAGTTTCTGAAGCTCGTATGGTGAAACAAGTGTTGCACGATCCATATACTGACTGTACAACTGGTGCCCTAATTCATCTGGGTGGTAATTTGAGCTAATGTTTGGTTTTGCTGGCTAAGTACAATACGGCTGAACTATCTCACACCTTGCTCGTTCAAGGCTAATTGTCCTTTGCAGTTTGTAAAATCGCTAGTTCCCCCCCCCCATGATCCATGTATTCTGAGTATACTTTTGACACTTTCAACCTTGAAGATCCTAGCCATCTGATGTTTTCGGAAGTTGAGTTGCCCCTGAGTCAAATGCCTATTATTCTGTCCGTGATTGAAGGTGTCTAAATCAGAAGTATTACCCACATTGGCAATTGAAACAGCTGATTAACAACAACCATAGTATTAACTATATATGCAGTTACCACAATGCTCTCACATGAGCATAAATGCAGCGCAGCACTACACAAGTTGCATAACCATGTCTATCCCTAATTCAGTGGCACTTCATTGCAGTAAAAGAATACCTTTTTTGTAATTTTTGATTATCAGCATCTCTTTCCCTTTAAAAAAAATGTTGAGGATTTGTTGTCAACTAGCTTTTTTCCAAGCTGATGAGTGAAAGGCTAGCCCATAATAGAGCAACTGGTCAGAAAATTTAAAAAAGCAAGAAACATTAGTAGAATAACACTTTTTTTGAGAAATTCTGTTTTTTACTGCTGTTATTCTTCCCATGTACACAGCAATCCATTTGTATTTAAAAGGCATCAAAGAAATGCACTAACTCAACATTGTGCAACATCGGTATTCCACACTGGGCAAAACAGGGTGCGTGTATGACTGTATGACCTGGGTTGCCACATAAATACTTTTTAGCAACATTGTGGGTTGCAGTGTGAATACTTTTTAGCAACATTCTGGGTTGCCGCGTAACTATTTTGCCCACGTGTTGTTTCGCCTCATACTTTTTCTTTACTTATAAATTTAGTAGATGTACAAGAATATCATGCTTCAAGAGAAATGCCATCAACTTTTCGTAATGTAGAATTTCTTTATTTTTTTTTACTATTCCAGTTTCCAGTGCATCTGAAGAGAGATATTTTTCTGACTGTTTAAGAAATGTGATAGAAGAAATATGAAACTGCATGGTTATAATATATGTGGAACAAGAAGTATTAAAGAACATCTAAAAAATTTTTGAAAATAATTTATGAATTTCTTGGAAAGAAACCAAGGAAAAAGTTTATTAAACATGCTACTTAATAATTATCTAATTTAATAATCATTTATTTTGATTTTAAAATATTCCATAAATGTTTTAGCAGTTTGATGTTTTACTTTTCTTTCCCATAAAATATTTAATTTCTTGGTATAATTTTAATTTTTATATTGTTTAGTCTTGATATTCAGAGGAAATAATGTAAAAATACTTAAATATTAAATACTAATTTAAGGTGTAGGTTTTGGAAACCCTATCATGACATGATTGGTTTTAATGCGTGATCGCGGTGATTTTGATTTCTCAAGGAATTTGATTTTTCTTATTTCTGCATTTGATGTCTCTTACGGAGTACGTTGCTTATTTTGTGCTTTACACCATAAAATGGCTGCCTGTGGTAAGATTAATCTGAAGTTTCTGTACAATTTGGAATGAATTGAAGGGGAAAAAAAAAAAAAAAAACATTAATTGACTGATGTGTAAATGAAGGTTTACTCAGTAATCGTTATAAGTGCCCTGTTTGTATGAAGGAAATGCATATGGTTGAAAGTAAAGATCATTCAGATGGCTTTGAATGGTTGAATCTGACAGTCGGGCCTTACGGAAGATATTTTTTATTCTTATTTTTATGAATTTTTGTGGTGATGGCAGTATATTGATTCTAGTTCAGATAATTTTAGACAGTTTTTGGATGCTGTTAAGAAAAGGCATTGCATGTAAACAGGAATGGTGCCAAAAAGTCGCCAATTTTCACCAAGGGGTACCATGAAATATATTTTTCCCAAAACTGGTTCTCAAATGAGTGTTCCTTTTCTCTTTGGTGTCTCAATCACAAATGAAGTGCATTACTCATTTTTTCATATTCGCTGCCTTTCATATTTTCTCTTTCTTTTAATTTATCAATGCATACTCTTTTCATATGTCAAATTTTGATTTCAGACTTCTTTTTTTAACCTCGTTACAGTAGTTTGTCTAACACCTACATCCATAGTCGTTTTATTTATACTTAGCTCTTTGTCGAGTGTCTTTGAGGTATCCAGGTTCAATTTCATTATCATATCAATTTATTTTCTTTTCTACTTTTGACATTTTCACTTGTACAGATAACATTTGTAAGCCTGGATATAAACTGAAAAACTGTACCCAGAATGAACTGAATGTTTAATTGACACTAAGGTACAGGTATGAAACCTTCAGTTAAACTTGCTAACGACTAGCAACCGAAAGAAATGTTAGTGAAGAGTGACAGTGGCTGCCTAAATTTCTTCAGCTACTTTGCTACTGGGAAAGAGAAAAGGATAAGATGGAATTTTCACAAAAAATTTAAAACCTCTCTCAAAATTTATTAGACAGTTCTCTGAACTAGCATTACAAAAGGAAAGAGACAAAAATTGCAAAAATAGAATCCTATACCAAATCTTTGGACAGAACTGGAAAACATGTGGACATTTATATATATAAACATGTACTTTAATTGCAGTAATACAGTAATTAAAATGTACACTGAGCAAGAAAAGGGGACAGTTCTATATCTCTCATTCTAGTGGGCCCGATTGACGAAATTCAAATTACGTTTTTCATGTCTTGAAACCGTGACTTAGTATATATATTAGATTTATATTTAGCATTGTTCTACTATAGGTATTTTGACACAAAATCAGACTTTTTCTTAAATGTCATATCAATTTTTTTCCATATTTCGATTTTATGACTCAAATTATGCCTAAATGTTAAATTTTGTAAAATTCGGTGGGAAATTTACGGAGAAATTCAAAAATTTATCTTGGCTCATTTTTTTCAGTTGCACCAAGAATAAATCGCTTGGTGAACTTCTTAATGTATGGCAACCTATTTTCCCTTCCTTTTTTACATTGTGCATAAGATGAAAGAAAGTGACATTGTTCCTACTTTCAAATAATTTTAACAAAGTGTCTAAACCACTATTGGATGTCCCTATCGCTTTCAACATATATGCCAAATTTCAAAATGCACTAATATGCATATTTATGTATATCTTAAAAAATTTAAATAAAAACTCTAATTTTTGGCAGGTAATACATCTACTTTAAGATATTAAAAATTTTATAGGTTATAATACAAAAATTTTTTCAAAAAATTTATAAAAAAAAATTTAAAAATACAAATTTTAATAATAAATTATAAAAAATGCGTGAATTGTGTTTGAAGTAAGCCTAAATTTAGAATTCTTAAAGAAGGAATCAAGTAAATTTAATGATAAAAAGAGATATTAATAAATATATATCAAATTCAATTAACATTGAGGAGCTAAAATTTTGAGAGCTATTTTTTTAAAAACTACTACGATTTTTACAAAACTTGGCAGTTTGGCATAATTTGAGTCATAGAATCGAAATATGGGAAAAAAATAGGCATGTTATTTCACAGAAAGTCCGATTTCATGTCTAACAACGTAAATCCTAAATTGCACACGCACACACACAAGCAACTTAAAGTTCGTCAGTCGGCTCAGTTGAACTGGAGATATCGAACTGTTCTTTTTTTTTTTTCTTCTTTCTTTCTTTCTTTTTTTTTTTCGCAGTGTACTTATACTAATTACACCAATTTAAACCTGTAATTATATAATTTAGTACTTCAATTGCAAATGTACTTTGTTATGCCAAAGTAAGCTGAAATTTGTAATTCCTGCCCCCTCCCTAAATTTTAAACTGAAGTTAGCTACATTCTTTTGTGGTTGTTGAATGATTTTTATATTTAATTTACATAATATTTAAATTTTTGGTTTGCTTTATTGAAATCCATATAATTTTAGTGTGGAAATCAAAGAATCTGTTAGAGGAGAAGATGTGTATATCATACAGAGTGGCTGCGGTGAAGTGAATGATAATTTAATGGAGCTTATGATCATGATTAATGCTTGTAAAATTGCATCTGCTTCAAGGGTTACAGCGGTAATTCCACTCTTTCCCTATTCAAGGCAAGATAAAAAAGATAAGGTAAAGTTTCTTTGATTTTTGTAAAAAATATTCTTATATGTAAATAAGCTGATAAAAAATATAGATATCATATATAATGTAGAATAGGTATTTGAAGTTTCAAATTTATTAGATGAATGATACAGATATATTACATGCTAATTATTTTACATTAAAAAATTAATAGACTTAAAACATTTGATACGGCATAGAATTTTAATAAAAATAACATTAAAAGCTAACTACAGTGTAAATATGTAATTTTTATTTTGCTGTGTATGTTATGTAAAAACCAGTGTTATTAATTGATCTCATCAGTAATCTTGTTACATGAGATAACACTGGCCATTTTCTTCTGGTTTTGATTCCTACAGGTTTGAACAGGTTGGCTGAAAGAATGTACTCCTCAATTATTAAATTGAATATGAACAATTTTCTCCTTGGAAATCCTACCACGAAGGTGTTCTTTTCATGAAAGATTGCCTTTAACATTAGCATGAAGTTGAGACCATGATAAGAGTTAAGAAGTTGAATGTTTGATGAAAATAATAGATTTATTTAATTGCTGCTATTTATATACCTGCCTACTGATATAGCACAAATCCGGACATCAAACATCTGGAATGATCTAACCACAACACCAGCAGCAGTCTTTTTTGAAACAACATTGGAAAATTGAGAAACAACGCAGCTGACATTTTTTCGTAATAAAGCACGTGGAGAGTCTTGATTTTTAATTCTACTTCACTAAATAAAATACCTGCAGATCAAAGAAGCACATCATGTATTATCATAGATTTGTATGATCAGTAATTTGGCTTCATAGCCACCTTTTTGCTTGGCATACATCTCAAATCAAAATACTATTCTACAAAAGTTAATTTCTGATTTTACACGTATGGAATATCAAAATTTAAACTAATAAAATTTAAATCCATAAATTGTACTTAAGAGGATATATTTATTATCTCTAAAATTACAAAGATTAAAGATCATTTACAAAGATTACAAAGATCAAAGATTAAAGAACTAATTTCAATGTAAAAACATATTTTCTTCAGAGAACTGCTAGGCTTAGATACACGAATGCCCATGGTAGCAGATTTGCTACCATGATTTTAAAAATACATTTTAGCATTAAAAGCGTTAATTTTGTAAAAGTAATTTTATACTGTGTGATACACTCACTCTTTTACTTTATATAAATAGTAATTATTAACTGTTTTATTAATAAAATGTTTGTAAAATAAACAACTTACGTCTGAAAAGGTGCTTGCATTGTTTGCTGCATCCATGCTTCTTCTATGCTATCTATGCCTAAAATTTGCTAATAATACATGAGAAAGGTTCAATCTATAAATTTATGACATAAAAATTACATTTCATGGCATTCCTGGTATAAATACGTGGCGTTCAATATATAGTAGTAGAAAATATGCTACAGTGGTCATTAGAGGGTTAACATTCTAAAAGTTGACATTTGAGTGAGTTACTCTTACAAGACAGTTTAACACAAATATTTTAATAGTGCTTGAATTTTAACTTGTACAAGCCAGGATATTAGAAGACTGTGAAGTTTCATTCTATCAAAACAAGTATCAAATGAAGTTTTCTTAGCATGCTCAGGTGTGCTTGAAAACAAGTTTTAGTCTAGTCCCATTTTAGAATTATACTAGATCAGAAAATCATATAAGAATTATCTTCTCTTCTAATGAGAAGCAGGATTTGCAAATTTCTTTCACAGTGTGTGTGTGTGGGGGGGACAGCCAAAAGAAATAAGTTTCCTCCACTAAAGTTAAAGAAACTAATTTTTGTACTTACATCATATTTTTAGTATTATTTATATTTTAATCATATATAGCAGTATTATATTACTGATTTAATTATTTTCATTTGCAATATAATTTAAGTAGCTTCATCTGCATGTTTGCAGAAATCATTTTTTGGTAATAAGTAATTTTGCATACTTGTTGCAAGGTCCGCTTTCATGTTTGTAAATTTAGATATATTCTGAAACTTATAAAAATAACAAAATTGCATAGTTATTTCAGGGAAAATAAAAGGAAATAAAAAAATTGAACTAAAAAAGAGAATTAAATAGCAAAACCGAAGTTACATCATTGTAAAATCAATGTAACAAAATAGTAGAACATTTTTGGTATTGTATGTGAACTTAGTTTTCAAGTTGTTATTCAGTCATAGAATTCAATATTTCAAACTTATTATTCAATCATTGAATAAATTCAAAAGAGGAGACCATTTACTGTAACTCAGCTGAACTTTAATATCAGTTACGTTACATAGTTCATGTGAAATTTCAGAAATGGGTGAAGTTTTTTGCCAAGAGCTACCAGTTAAGAAAGAGAAGGAGCTATTGGACAGAGAAAAGAAATAAGATAAAATTATTTTTAAAACTGGAATGTATTTAAAACATTTATTTAAATGCACAAATTAAAAAAAGTATAATTCCTTTATGAAATCTAAAATTGTAATAATAATTATTTTTTTATCAGTGCAGCATATTTCAGAGGGAAAATAAATAAATAAATGAAATATCACATTAGTAAATGAATAAGAATTTTGTCACACTTTTCACCATATTTTGGAGAAAATTATTTAATTACTTTATATTTTAGTACAGAAAGAATGAAACATTTATTTTTAAATAAGTGTTGCTAATAAATTTATCCCCTTTAGAGCCCTGTGGGTGCATCATTATTCATTTTTTTCTTTTCCTTCCAATGATCTGGAAGAAACTCATTTCCTAAGATGTTGATTCTCATAAAGCATGTTAATCTCTAAAACTAGTTTAAAATGCTGACTGAAAAATCAGTACACGTGTGCGTATTTACACCCAATGATATATTGGTAACAATACCATTTACAATAGTTTATATGTTGTTGCATTGCTTACAGCTGAGCAAAATCTCGGGTAGGCTTCTAGAGTTACTGCAATACTGTAAAAGTAGTAGAGTTATGTGTGGTATTGTTAACAGCATAACACCAGCTATCAGCAAGTGCACTTATACTGAAAAATCTCCTTTATATATAATAGATGGCAATATCTGCAGTTTCTCAGTTATAGTAAGTCCTCAGGTAGACTGCCTTCCCCTCATAAAACAAAATGTAAGAAAAATCACATGAACTGATAAGTCATTCACTTAAAATGGAAAAATCATACGAACTGATAATTCATTCACTTAAAATGAGATATAGTTATCATTTCACTCATTACTACTAACTGATCATTGCACATATTGAGTTTGTATCAGATGAGTTCCTATATGTACATTTTTATATGATTTAAGGCTAAAAGGATTTGTATGTCTTTTCAGATTAGATTTATCTGACATGTTATTTATATGACTTAGTATTGTTATATGGAGCTTGCTTTACTGAGAATTTTAATTATTGGTACTGTTCTATTATGTGTGTGCATATACATATATATATAGGTGTGTGTTTGTGTATGTCTGTGTATATGTGAATATGTATATATATATGTGTGTGGAGCAGGAATAATTAGGTGATTTAATTTTGGTGCCATGCGAACATCTTTGTAGATGGCACAGTAAAATGCACATCACCGAGTAAAGCAATTTAATATCTGTAGTTATCTTGCAGCATTAGTCAGAAGCACATTGAGCTGAATGAATTTTGCAGGAAATTGTTGGGGGGAGATTGGCAAATCTTGGATTACCTGATAATGTGCAGTGGAATTAATTTTCATCAAAACAAATACATCAAGCAGAACTTCAGTAACTGGACAGCAAAGAACCCACACATCCTTTGGATGACACTTAGCGTCAGAAGCCGCTGTCATCCAAAGGAATGCTTCCGCAATGTATCATCTTTCGCTTTGGAGATATTGAATGGCCCCCCATGCTGGTGTAATTTATCAGCACGTGAGTTTTGCTTATGGATAAGTTCTATGTCCAACGGCCTCAGATTATGCAGGAACTGAAAGATTACATCTGAATGGAAATTTGTGTAGATCTTGTGAATTTTCTGAGGAAAGCTGCGAATAATGTCAGACAACAGGCACAAGTGCACCTTGCATTGAATGAAACTCATAGTGATGTTATATTAAAAATGTGACTTGAAAACAGAATGCTTTTCCATGTTTTTCACATTTGTTTAGCTAGTTACAATATTGAATTAAAATATTCATTTTCTCAAATTATTAATCATTTAATTGTTTTTGTCCTACCTTGTTTATATACATATAAAAGTAGCAAGACAACATGAATTAGTAACTTGATTCGAGTTTTGAACTGCTTTTCCTTTGATAAATCCGGCCCAAACCTTGGGTTAAGCTATTTACCATTGTTGCAATTTTTTGTACATATATTTTTGTTATATGTTTTATTTTTACAGCAGTTCTTTTATAATTCTTAATGCATTAAAATTAATTAATTTTTTCTAACCCCCTTTTTTTAATTTAAAGTCATCTCAACTTGTAATTTTAACATTTAGTTTTTACGAGTTTGCTTTTGCTGCTTTATTATTGTTTCTAGATGTTGAATGATTTTACTTTTTTGCTAAGGAACTATAGAGTCAAATGAATTTTTTAGCATAAGCTTTTAAATATACATATATATATAACAAACATTCTCTATTCGTAAAAAGCAAATTTAAAGTTAATTAAATTTTGAATAATGAAATTTAATTGCAAACAAATAAATGAATAATTTTTGCTGCGAACTAATCTACAATATCATGTAACATACATACATAACACTGCAAAGCCTGAGATCTGGAATTATTGAGATTTTGGCAATTCTGTATCTCAGAAATTTGAGTTTAAATCTAGTAAGATGACATTTAGATATGGCAACATTAGAACTTATTATTTAGGTCTGGTCGAAAAATGGTAACCTCTTTCTTCAAAGGTTTAAAACAGGTGCAATTGGTGTGGCTGGTATTGGGGGTTAGAATTTAGGGACTGCAAAAGTTTTAGAGTTTAGAAAAGTAACAAGCGGCAAAAATTAGGGATGGATGAATTTTTAGACTTTTGAAAAAGCACTGGGCAGTAGAAGTTAGGGGTAGTAAAATTTTTAGAATTTGGGAGATACCAGGTGGCAGAATTTAGGACCCAGATTTTGCACTGGGCCAGCAAAATGAGTAGCGCTGGCCCTGCCCCCCCCCCAACAACCGCTTAAGGGCCGAAAGTGTGGTCCCGGTCAACATCAATACCGTGTCAATCAGTGTATTATTGTTGGCCATGATGCAACTCTCTAGCCAGCTGTTGTTTAAAAGTGTCGTGCAGGAATCTCATTTAGTTCAGAGGAAAATTACATTAAAGGCACATCAGTATCCTTTTATTATTATATTCATCATTCCAGGGCTTTGTAAGAGAAGGTGAATTTTTTAAATTATTTTATTTATTTATTTTTGTCTGGTGGTCTAGAGATCTAGATATTAGATCACTCCAGATTTCAGACTTTGAAATATATAATTTTTAATTCTGCAGTCATATTAAATTAGATTTGCTTTTTATTAGAGTCGTGCACCTATATCAGCCAAATTAGTAGCTAATATGCTGTCAGTAGCAGGAGCAGACCATATCATTACTATGGATTTACATGCATCTCAAATACAGGTAAGTTAATATGGTTCCTTCTGCTTCTTAGCTGTAGATATTTAAATACCAAGTAAAATGTTATGCTGTTAGTAGTGGTGTGGAACAATTGCCTTGAATGTAAGACAGCCCCATATATAAAAAGACTATGCATTTGATAGGTGTTTTATAGAGGGGAAAAACTGGCATATTAAGAAAACTGCCATATTGGCTTATATATCAACTTGATATACAGAAAGTGTTCTCCAAGAAACGTAATTTGATGATCTAATGAACATATGTTGGGATAAAAAAAATTATATTCAGTAATACATTATTTTATTATCAGTCACGAATCTAATTTGTTCCTGAAGGCCGTCCTTGAATAAAAATGCTTACAAACTCAACCTATTTTCTTAAAATGGATTAATTCATTCCTGTACCACAGATAACTGCTTATTTAAACTTAATTGTGTTTTATGCACAGATTCATTCATTACCTAAAACCACTGGAAACCATTAAATATAGAACAAAAGATAAACACAAGAATAAAAAAATAAAATGGATGAAAATTTAATTATGTTTTACTGTGCTTATATGAAGGATGGCATTCGTGGAAAATGGTAAGGAGGTATGTAGATGTAAAATTTCCTTCCATGAAAACTATTTTTGTGTATCATCATTGATGATTTTCTTTTGACTTCTGTTTGTCTCTAAGCACCACTAGATTCACTAGGCCTGTGTCTCACTAAACATTTATCCAGTGTGATTTGTATTTATCTTCATCTTCAAATGTTTCTAAATGGAGACATGGGAATGCCATTGAAAATTCTTATCTCATGGCTTGCTAATGCTTTATCAGGGTAATATCCTTATGCAAAAAAATTGTTACACCATTTTGCAGATCAGAGAATTTAGATAATTTTTCTTCTTCCCCTTCTGAAATATTTCTTAACATAATTTTCTTTTGTTGTTGCTTTTGAATAAAGCCCTTCTAACTTCCAATAAATTCCTAAATCCTGGAAGTCTCTTTCTACAGCCTAATTGGCAATAATTTTTCCCATTCATGATCTTTTAAGTCACCAGGCTTGTTAATGAGAGTTAAGCAGGGGAAAATAATATATAGTGATGTTTCCAAAAGTCATAGAGTGTTACTTATGTGGCTGTTTAACCACTGTGATAACCTATGCCACGTAATTAACACTCATATGTTCTCAATTTGAATGTTCAAAATTTGAGACACTGCTTGTCATCCAAAGCATTTTTTATTAAGATAATTTGTTCATAAACCAAATTGTTCATGAAAAAAGGCCTTCATGATCTGAGGTTCTTTTTTTTTCTTTTTCTTTTTTATTAATGCTAGGCTTAGTATACAAGATAGGTGAAATTTGAAGAAAGGCAGCTTTAAGGGGAGGGGGTAGTACACAGTCTTACATTCATGGCTATATATACTTCTTTTTAAGTGTCTTTGGCCTTAATGACAGAAAATGGCAGTGATGCAATTCGGGCTAAAGAAAGTACAGTTTGTAGCCAAATGTTACCAGCAACCATGAAAATGAAATTGACTATGGTAAATGATAAATCGGCAATTCATTCAGTATGCAAGTTTAGTACACAAGTTTCATATGTATATGTATAGAGAGAAATATAGAAGGAGTTTAATATAAATTTGTATTTATTAGAGTATTTAATATATAATTTTGTCTGCAGTTTGTTTAAAATAATGTAATTTAATAGAACTTATTTAATATATTCGTTGATTATCATATTTAATAAAATTATGTGAGCATTTTGTTTAAAATAACATATATATAAACATGCTTGAAAATTCTATTTATTATTTTGCTTAATATAATTTTGTTAGCAGTTTGTATATAAAAGTTACAGACATTGGCTTCAGTTTTTGTTTTTATAAAGGGGGGACATATATACACATGCTGGAAAATTAAATTTTTACAGACTCTTTCTGGTAGCCACAGTTTAGACATTGCTGCTAATAATGGCTCGAATATTAATTATAGCCTTTTTTCATTGATGAAAGTTTAAAATAGTAAGCTTAATGAATACTTTACAATGAAAACTTGCTGTAGTGACAGAATGCAATTAAAACAAATCCAGTTAAATCATTAACCGTTTATTTCTTGTATATGTAGTGCAGAGACATGCTAAATAAACTTTCTCTCCTAGGTCAATACAGAAGACAAAAACGTCTTCTTGTTTATATAATAACTTTTTTTGATTAGAATGGAAAATATTAAAATATATTTGTAAATATTTAATTTAATTTTTTTTATTAATGTGTATCAATGTAAAGATTTTGTAAATGTTAACACATCACCTGTTTAATGTTTTCTATAATCTGAAAAGATTTGTGATAAAATTGGAAATTAAATTTTTGTGTATTGTTCTGGTGACATTTTAAATAATGTATAAATCAATGAAGAAATTAGAAAATGAGAACTATAAGTAAGCTTTATTTAAGCTGTAACAAATTCTAGGTGTAAAATAACATTTATTTAATTTTTAAAATTTGTAGCATCTGAGTTGTTACAGGAAGAGCCAAAACAGCTTCCTTGAATCTTGTTTAATTTCTGAATAGATAAGACCCAGTTTAATTTTTTTTTATGTTAGTAATGGATGTTCCAAAAAAAGTGTTTTTGAAGTCTGCTGTCATTGTTAACTATTCAGTTATTTTAATTCAATTTTGTGTTAGAATTATATTTGGCTTTGTGCGAAGACTTACTTTCAAAATAGTTTTAGGGATAATTTTATTTGGTTGATTAAGTATTGCTAAGCAGAATCGCCAGTTATGGTTGTCATTTCAGAATTTTATTTAAATGGATTTTGTGCATTTATATATTATATTCTTAACTAAGAAAAATAAAACAATTAAGAAAAATTCCTCCAAGAAATCCACTTATGATGTGAATTTCAAAATTAACCTCTCCTCCTGGAAAATCATGTGATGGGCCAAACTTTAGTCATACAAGTTTGACTGATTAGATTTTAAAGGTTTGGACCCAGAAGAAAGAAAGGCAGACAGAAGAAATTTTATTGGCTATATCTAACGACAATATGTGATGATGTCGATGATTCATACAGAAATGCTTTTTCTGCCACTCATATATTGTAGTTCATACATACAACTTCAGGCTGTTTAAAAAAAATCCTTGCACATTCATTATCTGTTAAAAGGTATTTTGTGTTCTTTTATGGATAAAATGCTGCCTGGCATAAAAAATTCTGGTACTTATGTATTATCCCCCCCCCGACCAGCCAAGTATCACATTTAGTGTTAATTATGGATGACTTAGTCCTTTAGAATTCCACAGTAACAATTGGTGATTGGCAACCATTACCAAAATTTCTGCCAACGGTCGACAAGATAGTACTTAAGTATTAAAATTCTAATTCTAACTTTGATTCTCAAATCAGATAAAATATTTATTGATTTTTATATCAACAATGTTTTAGGGTTTCTTTGACATTCCTGTTGATAATCTGTATGCTGAGCCAGCTGTTATAAAGTGGATCAAAGAAAATATTTCAGAATGGAGAAATAGCATTATAGTATCTCCTGATGCTGGTGGTGCCAAAAGGTTAGTATTTTTAGTTTTATGAAATTCCACTTTAATTTATTAAAAATTCCTATTTTATATTTCCACAATATTACACCTGTGCTATCTAAATTTTCTTCACATTTCTCTAGGAGATAATTTAATCATATATATATTCTCTGTTAAAATTAAAAATTTAATTTTAGCAGCAATAGTTCAGGATTTTACTTCCTCAGGAGCTAATTTTTAAAGTTTTCTCTTTTGTGTTTTTTTACAAATATATATATATATACACTACCCGACATTGAAAATGCAACACCAAGAAGGAGTGGCCAAAAAATGATGAAACAATAAGTGATTTTTATTTCAAAATGATATGCATAATACAGAGGAAGAACAGTGTTGGCTCAGTAGGTTATAGGACCACCTGGGATGGTGACACACAAAGCAAAACATGTAGGTACAGAGTTGAGACTACAATTGATGTCCTGGGCTGTCCATTCCCTGTCAACCATTTGCCACAGTTCGTCTTCTGCATGCAGCAATGGCATTCAGTCACATTCCAAATGTAAGGGAAGCATCTGTACACCTTGTAAAGCATGTTGACTGATGCGAGCAGTGTGTGGTCGGATATTATCCTGCTGATAAAGGGCATTGAGTACTCTCTGAAGGTAGGGGAGTGTCATTTACGAATTATTGGACCGTCATAGTGCCCTGAATACGAATTAGAGGTGACCTGGACCACAATTGGGCTCCAAATCATGATGCCACGTTGTGCATTCTGCATTTGCTGCTGGATTGGACCTGTCTCCACATCAATGCCACACTCGTACACGATGACTATCATTGGAGAAACAGAAGCATGACTCATCTGAGAACATGACCCTGTATTATTCCGCCATCCTTATCGCTTGAGTCCGGCACCATTGCAGACATTAGCATCTATGAATATAGGGTTATTGGCAGTCTTCTTAACGGATGCCACAAGTGCAAGCCACTAGCCTCTAATGGATGGCAAATGATTCTGGTTGATATGGGAACATTCAGAATTTGTTTCAGCCATCGTTGCCACACCTGGTGTACTGTGGATGCATCCAGATATGTGTCAGCTGATATTTGCCATATGGACCAACCTGCTGTTTTCAGTCTGATCACCATGCCCCTTATAAAATCGTCTTGTCTCCTGGAACTGCCTGCTTTGACAACGGCCCGGCATTCTCTGCTATTGTACATATCCTTTGAGATGAGAAAAACATTCTACAATGATTTTCTAGCTAAAATACTGGCACAAAAATTGAACATTCTGCAGGTTCCTTCCCTTATAGTTTGGTATGATTCAAGGTATGCGGGAGAGCTGTGCATTTCACATCATTCACATAACTCGGTCTACCCTGAAATTTGCATAATTTTTGAGCCACTCCTTCTTGATGCATTTTCAGTGTCAAGTAGTGTATGTACTTGATATTTTAAGCCAAGTAATTTTACATACATGATACTTAAGTGCATATTAGCAGAAATACAAATTAATTTTTTTATTTGAAAATTGCCATAAAATATATATTTCACTCTTTTTATGAAATAACATTCAAGATTTCCCCCATTAATTTATATGTATTTTTCATTGGCTTAGGGTAATACAAAAGCATTACATTAATGAACTACCTTTTCATTTTTTAGTATACTAGGTAGGATTCAGAAGGTCCCAGACTCAGTCTATAACGTAAAAAATATTATGAATTAAATTGCCGAAGCACAACCTCCTTCGAAATAAGACCCTTGTGCAGTAACACATTTTTCCTAGCACCTGTAAAGTTCATCGAAGCATGTCTTGAATCCATTTTTGGCCTTGTCTTTTAATTTAGCTTGCGATGCACATTTAACTTCATCTGAAGATTGAAATCGACAACCCTGTAAGCGTTTTGCCAGTTCATGAAATAAGAAGAAATCACAGGTTACGAGATCAGGTGAGTAAGGAGGATGAGGCAAAACAGTTGTTTTCGTTTTCACAAGAAAGTCGTTGACAAGTAGGGAAAGGTGAGCAGGAGCGTTGTCATGCAACAGCACCCATGACTGCACAGTCCACATTTTTGGACTCTTCTTCCAGATCGACTCACGCAAACGACGCAGGATTTTGACATAGAGTTCTTTGTTCACAATGCATTCTTCAGGGACTTTCAGTGCATCCTTTCAGATGCACTGTGTCCTGGATATCGAAGAATATGTCTAACATGACCTTTTCTTTAGAGCGATCTTGGCGGAATTTCTGCTTCCATAGAGATTGTAGTGTTTTCCACATTGCCGATGCTCTCTTGGTTTGCAGGTTGTACAAAAAAACACAATTTCTCGTCTCCAGTAAGAATTCTGCCAAGTAGGGAAGGATCTTTGTCAATAGCTGAAATTAAGTCTCCCGCCATTTCCATTCAAATTCCCTTTTGGTCTACGTTTAATGTACAAGAAGCGATGTGTTGACGCACCCTATGCATGTTAAGATCCATAGTCAGTATCTGCTAACATGTGGCCTCTGATATCCCAACTGATTCTGCTATTTGGCAAATTGTTTGCTGCATGTTCGCACGTACTGCTGCAGACACGTTTTTGATGTTTTCATTGGTGTGTGAAGTCACAGGACGGCCACAGTGTTTGTCATCTTCGGCACTTTCCCTTCCTTCTCTGAAACAATGATGCCATTCAAAAGCTTGCGTTCTTGATAACGTTTCACTTCTGTGCACATGTTTCAACATTTCAAAAGTCTCTGTAGCACTTTCTCCCAAGTGAACACAGAATTTGATATTGATTCAGTGTTCAACTGATGCCATTTCTTTCTATTGCTGGTTACTAAATGCACCTGCCTACAAAAACACTTGCCACAACCTTTCGACCATGTGATTTGGGACAAACCACTTTTAGCAAAGGGGGAGAACGTAGTAACACAAAAGCATTCTTGTAATCGCACTACTGCAAAAAATTTTTACATTATAGACTTAGTCTGGGAACTTTTCAATCCTACAGCATATATTGATTTCTTCTTGGAAATTAAAATGAGGTAATTGTATATACTGGATTAAAGCAATCTAATCTTTGCATTATAAAGTCACTAAGGATGGCTTCTGGACTCAGCTGCTTAAACTATTATAAAGTCGGCCTTTAAGCCCTCAACCCTATAACATTAGGGTGGGAAAGAACTTAGATTAGTATAAATGAGTTAGATTAAACTTTATCTAGTATGAAGGCAAGTTAGCAAGAGCATTGTCAGCTAACTCTTGAAATCATTAGAATTTTATTAAAAATCTATTCCAGCCTGAGACTATTCCCCTCCCGATTTTACATTTTACATTAGCATGTTTTTTTTTTTTTTTTTTTTTTTTTTTTTATATATCAATATCTAGACTCTGTTAATTAATCAAGCTCTTTTTTTTTCTCCTTGATTTGAAAGATATTATCAGTATGGATGTTTTTAAACATCATTTAATTTGTTCTGATACCAAAGTGTAGCAATCAGATAATAAGAGCATATTTTTGTTCTTTATTTTAGCATTCATATCATAAAACTTTTCTATTATTTTCTGTTCAGTTTTCAAGCTCACAATCTTCACAGTTTTCCTAAATGCATTTTTTTAACATTTTAATTCTTTCCTTGATTTTTTAATTACCTGTTTTAATGTTATTGATGGCATAAGTTATTCCAAAGAAAGTAGAGTTTAACTGAAGATGTCTAGCAAATGGCTGTCTCTCTTTTTCTTAAACACAAAACTTTGGGCTTCACATATCTGTAATTCAAATCCTGGCTGGGGCCATTCCTTTTCTTAGTAAATAGTTATCTTATAATGTGTATAAGAGCTTTGTTGATACTTTTCATTCAGTTGGGTTTTGACTAAAAAAATCATTTAACAATTTTTCCATCTGCTTTCCTCATTATTCATGATATATATACATATATAATTATGTATTTATTTTGATGATTATTATACAAGCATAGAAATCTGCATAACTTAGGACCAGAGATTGTACAGATTTTAGAGTTTTGTGGATATCAGGGTACCCTAACAAAATAGCCCATAACAAAATAGCTCCATCAAAGTAGCCCATGACAAAGTAGTATAAATAGTAGTAAAAGGAGCTTCTGAACTAAGTTCTGCAAAAAGACTTTAGTTTTTTAGCATCTCAATGTATGCAAGCAGTATAAAAGAGTGCTGCAATCAGTACTACATCTTGCACACAAATGCATTATAAAAATATATACATTCATATTTGATGTTGTACACGTATTTACATATCGCTGAAAGACGTATCATATTAAAATGTTTCACAATCATTTATCAAGTAGGGTGCCATAGTAATAATTTTTACATACAGGTTACCATAGCATACAAAAGTTCATTTATCACCTTACCTATTATCTAATTATAACTGTTCTATAATTTACAGAAAATATCGGGTTTTAACAAAATTTTCCCGCCACCGCAAATATCATCTGCGCAAACAGTTCGCCTTGGCATGTTTAATAATATTTTGTCAAATGACTTTTGGCATTTGAAGGAAAGAGATTTGCTTTAGAACACTGTGTTGTGAAATTTGTAAAAAAATACCATTAAGTGCAAGGTACTTGCTGAAAGTCATTCATAGGTATCGTAGAGCAAGAGATAACAGTAATGGAAGTGCACTGTGCCATCCCTTTAAAGAATGTTTAAAAACTATGAGTAAAGCCTCTTGGGCTGTGATGGAACATTGTCATTCCATCTATCTAAAAATTTATCAACCATTTTCAGAAAAAATAGGATATGATGGAAATTCACGTGAGTTGCCAGGATGCAGGTGTGCTTAACTCCTTCACATCCAATCCGCCTGAAACGGCCCTACATTGAAACAACCAGAACCGCCCGAAAATGGCCGAGATTGTAATCTTCTTTTCCTCCCTCCCCCTAAGGTATGCAGTAGCAGGTGCACTTTCCCCAAATGCATTCTATCAGTTTACTGCAGATAGCTTGTCCTAAGAGTCTTTTTATCTTTTGGTTGATCGTGACATTTTGTTGCTGATTCTTTTGTGGTACAGTGTGCTTTTAAGCTTTAAACAGCAATAAAAGAGCAGTTTAAAAATTTAAGGATTTATTTTTAAACAATTTATTCCTTCTTATAAAAATAACGGAAAAAAACAAAATCTCAGTCATGATCATAACAAAGCCGGAAAGGCTGGTTGATCTGACCTTCAGAATAGTTTTATAAAGAACGGGGTCAAAGGCTAATGGAATCTTTGTTAGAAAGTACAAAGGATGTCATTGGAAATCTTCACACCTATTTTCTGCATTAATGGATGGGGAGGGGAGGAAATTGCTATGAAACTGGAAACGTATTTCGGGCGATTCGGGTATTTTGAGGATACAGCTTAGCGAAGGGTCTGGATTTCAAAGAGTTAATCTAAATGCAAGCAAGACCGAATATGTATAACTGAATCAATGCTGGAAAGTGTTGGTGGAGAATTATGAAAGCATGGAAATGTATAAATTTTCTCCGTGGTATTTCTTATACTGTTGAAACATGAGTGTCAATAAACACTGGTTTTGTTGTTTTTACTGGTCTTATGTGCTTTGTTTTTATTTAAAAACATATAGTTTTTAAATAAGTTGGGTTTTTAAATAAGTAAAGTGGGATGTGAATTTTATCAGATGATATAAAAAGTCAATATTTGTATAAAATGTTTTTAGAAGTGAAATTAGAAATAAGGTATTTATAGTTATATTTAGGCTATTTTGTTCTGGTCTGTTTTGACAGATATTTTAGACCATAAAAAAATCATTAGATTTAGACTGAATAAAAGCAGAATAGAGCGTTTATAAATGAATGGTGAGGTTTTAAAAATTAATAATAAATCGATGCCTTACTTTGTATGGGGAAACATTACATCATAAGCAGCAGCAGCTGTCCAAGTTTTTGATGCATCAATCGAAGTCCTTTGATATTTGCACTCTTGGTCACTTGACATACATCTACAGAGTAATAAAATTCTTTGCATACTCAATGTGGCACTATGAAAATCTGGAGTGCATGCTTTATCCGACCAGAAACTTCCTCAAAGAACACGGACATTGTCAGTACATAAACTCGGTCATTAACAAACCCCCAAAGAAAGCAATTGCATGATGCTAAATCCAGCGAATCAGGTGGCCAGGGAAAAAGGCTGTTGTCTACTGCTGCAGCACGTCCAATCCAGCACTGGTGAAGAACATGATTAAGAAGCTCTCTTACATTCCTGTAAAAATGGGGCAGAGCACCTTCCAGTTGCAAAATGTACTCATCATAATTGGTGTTTAGTTAGGGTAACAACCAAGTTTTCAACATGTCTAGAAATGAGTCATCGATCACAGTTTATTGTTTAAAGAAAAATGCGATGTGCACTTTCTCGTGGGACACCGTACAAAAAACATGCATGAAACTTGCACTGCACTGAAGCCACAGATCTGGACACGTCAAAACAGAGTATGCAGAAAGTTTTTTCATATTGCGTCACCATCTCAGAAACTGACTCTGTGGATGTGCAGTAAACATGACAAGCAAACAACAGGTAGCATATGAGAAACTTGGACAGTTGCCTATGTTTACAGTGCTGGTTTTACACGGGAAAGGTAATACATTGATTTATTATCAATTTTTAAAACTGCATCATTCATTTATAAACAGCCTGTACAACATAAAAAATGCATTATATGAAATAATTTTTTTTAAACATTTTTTATAGAGTAAAGCAAGATCTATTGGGTCATGTGGAATGTTCTGCAGTTTTTGGTGATAAATACAAGTGAAGCAGTACTTAAGAAAATTTCACTCAGTTACATGAGTACCATTTTGTTTTAATTTTGCCATCTCTCCTGTAGCTAGAAAATTCCTTAAAAAAAAAAAAAAAAAAAAAAAAAAAAAAAAAAAAAAAGTAATTTAGGTATTGTTTGACAGTTTTAAAGTACAGCAGCAGTTTCTTTTAATAGGTCCTTGTTTACAGAGGATAGTTGTCCAAATCGGGCATCATTGAGGCTGAAATGTCTTCACTTCTCAAACCACCTTTGAACTGTATCATCAGAAAAAGCACTTTGCCCAATTACGGCACAAATTGTTTGAGTAATATGACAAGAACGAACTTTTGAATTTTCCATTCTTACCGCTCCACTGAAGTAAATTATACCACAACACATGCAAAGAATAATGTAACATGAGCAGAAAGGAACCTATTTAAACATCTACTTCGATCGAGGTCACTTCTTATCAGTAGTAACAAAATAACTAGAAAAAAGCACACTTGGATTAAAAAAATTGCAGAATTTTCCAGATGACCTAATATAAAAAGAAGAAAAAGGATGAAAACAATATAAAGAGACTTGTAACACTTATTTTTCACATTTCTGAAATACCTCTTATGTAGTAGTTAATTTTAAAATGTACTAGTTTGAATTCCTTCATCAACATTATATACTGTCATTAGTTCTTAATTAGTTATATATATCAGTTATACAAATTTAGGTGGCCCCACCAGTGGCCGAGCGGTAAAGTCATTGAACACTGGTAGTTCGGTCCGAGGTTCGAATCCCACGAACGGGCTGGCTACATGGGGGTTTTCATGGTTTTCCCTATGTGTAATCTGTATACGAGCCAGTTCCCCTTAGAAAGTCCTCCACGAAGGTATTCCTCCCCTTAGGCAGATAGCCCTCGAGGCTTTGCTGTAATTAAATAACAACCTAACCTAACCTAACCTATACAAATTTAAAGGATTTTTCTCCTAAATTTTTTTTATTTATTTATCATTTGATAATGGTCTTTAACTCTCCATCCAGCTAATAGTTTTGAAACCTCAAAAGCTCTCGCCAAATGCCATGAATAAGAGTTATTTTTAAAAATTATAATTCCTAAATACTTCTAATATTTAAGCAATAACTATTATTATTATTAAAATAGGAATCTTAATAAGTAAATAATAAATAGCAGTGAATCCTCTCTGAAGTTGAGCATTCAGTTTCCTAATGAAATCTTTTGTAGTTTTAATCATTTTAGAAAAGTAAATTTCATCACTGATGTTTATTTATGTTGTCAGAAATGATTATCTTAGATTATTGTCACAAGAGAATTCATTGTGTTTTTCAATTTAGATATGTAATTAATATTTCTCTTATTTAATTTTTCTTTCTTAGAGTAACTGCTTTGGCCGACCATTTAAATGTAGAATTTGCTTTAATTCATAAAGAAAGGAAAAAAGCTAATGAAGTTTCATCAATGGTATTAGTGGGTGATGTCAGAGATCGTATTGCAATTCTTGTTGATGATATGGCTGACACATGTGGTACAATATGTCATGCTGCTGACAGGTAATTAATGCTTTGTAACTAAATAAATGTGTATCTGTGATGTGTGGTTGATATAAATGTTTCAAAGTGCAAGTTATGAATAATTTTTTTAAACTGTATTAAGAGTAAAATGTATGTGAAGTATCTGATGATATTTAAATATATGTTTTCTATTTCATGATTGTCTATTTTCAGCCATTAAGTTATTTTATGTGAAATATTTCATAATTCTGTCCTTATTCTAAAAATCCATTATTCAGAATTATGTCTATACTGCTAATCTATGAAAGAATAATTTGTGTCCAGAATTAAAAAAGGAGATATCACAGTAAAGTTTTGTTTACAAAATAATAGAAACTTTAATATACAAACTTAAAAATTCTTCATGAATTTTATCTTCTAACACAGTATACACTTCATACAGGACGAAATTGCTTTTTTTTTCCTCATGAGATATTTTCTTGTAGTTTTCTTTCAAGAATAGATTCATTTGATGAAGGATGCATTCCATCCTTTACTGTTTAGTTTACTGTGTGAGATTTTTTTGTCATTAGTATCAAAAAGCCTTGTTCTTAAGCTCATAGGAAATGCATAGTCCACATCTCTCAATTTTTTTAAATAAAATTTCAGATTTAGTAGGATCGTCATTAGCTACATATGTATCTTGGTAATTTTCTGAAAATATTTTATTCTTCGGTTCTGCTTTTATAATGAGTGTAAACTGTTCCAAGGTGTAATTTTTTCAGTGCCAATTAAGAAAAACATTCAAAAGAAAATCTCCCCTCAATGAACCTGTCATGTGCATTGGTCTCCATAAATTAAAGAACAAACAGAAAAATCATATTTAAAACAAAACAGTTTGATAGAGGATTTTTATGAAACATGGATGAATGATAAATTATAGCATTAATTTTAAAAATGACAGAAAAATATATATGAGGAAATTTTTTTTAATGAAGTTAATACTAGAGAAATTTGCCTAAAAATAAAACCAATTAGTAACAGCATCCTTTCAGAGCAGTGCAGAAACAAATTTCATGCTATTTATGATTATATTAATCAGCTTAGTAGAAATAAACAACTATTTTTCCTTTAAACATTTGAAAAACAAAACTCTGCAATTAAAATATATGGAAATGCCTGAAATATCATTTTGCAATTTTCTTTTACTTATCCATAAAATTAAAAGAAGAAAATTTTCAAATAATAATATCTGTAGTTCTTGATAATGAAGCTTTCTAGCCATATATACATTTGTAATTGATTTGAAGGTCAAATCATAAAATTGCTTCCAGTTTTCCAAACATTTGGCTGTTGTTTCATGAACTCTGACCATTTCTTCACACCTGTTTGGGTTGAGGCTAGGGCATTTTCTGCAAATGATGGTACAGACAGATGCTCAGCAATTTGCTTGAAAAGCCAATTCGACCATTATATTCTGGAAAGTATTAAACAAAATGTGCACTTTTATCATTATTGAAGGGCAGCTTGAGGATAGAAACTAAATATCTTAGCCATACTGCACATACTAAATTTGATTTAATGCTATATTGAGCCACCGAAACCATATGTGTTTTTGTCTTAAAGTTTACAGTAGTTGAGCTAAATTAAAGTCAAAGGAATCATGTTGCAATCTGAATGTTTTTTGTTCTGGACCTTTTATAAGTGTCTTTAAGTGTGGCATTTTTTAATATTAAGATTTTTTTATCAGAGGAAATATGTATATCCACAATATATAAAGTATTACCTCACACATACATATAATGTATGATATATATATATATATATATATATATATATATATATATTGTGTCAGGTTGGCAAGAAAGTTAATTTTTTTTTTAGTTTGAAATAAAACTCAATTGTTTCTATACAAAAAATTAATTTAAATAAGTCAAATATCTTCCATTCTGTTTGATGACCTTTTGCCATCTTTCTGGTAACTTCATTATTCCACACTCATGGAACTTCTGATTATTATCATCAAAATATTCAACCACGTGCAATTTGAGGTCATCATTATTACTGAAATATTTACCTTTTAAGAAATTTTATAAACTATGAAATAAAAGATAATCCAATGGTGCAAGGTTGGAGCTATATGGGGGGATGCGATATCATTTTCCAGCAAAGCTCCATTAATTTCATATGTGCTTTTTATTCCCCACAAATTGACAAGTGTGATCTTTTTCTGATGCTATTTAGCTTTCAATATGATTTATGTTGATTTATCATGCTTGGACCATAATCTTTTTTTGATTAATGTTATTGTCCATTTTCCATCATCAGTAATAAATCGTTTTAAAAAAGGGTCGATTGCATTATGTTTGAAATGCATATTGGAAATATTGATTCACTGTGTTGAGTGAAATTTTTCAGTTCATGTGGATCCCAGATATCCAGCTTCTTAATGAGTCCAAGAAATCTTATGTAATTTTTACTTATTATGTGTGATACATTTAATCTTTTTACGATCTCACCCACAATCGAGTCTGATGATTTGATTTAATTATGACTAATTTTGTTGTTACCAACTTCAGAATGTCAGACAGAAAAAGTAGATAAAAAGGCATGTGGTCTTGTGAAATTTATTGAACATCAATTAAGATACATAATTTTCACAAATGAGTCCAAATATTGGCTGCAGTACATTATCAAGTGTTATTTTATATGAGTAAATCTAGAAAGAACACAGGCACCCTTTATCAAAGCAAGTCATCTTAAAGAGACTGTTATTGGGTTGGCAAGAAGGTAATTTTGGTTTGCATAAATAGATAGCAGGTTTGTTATTTAGTTTGAGATTTGGCAGTTGACACATTTAGGTTGTCACAATTTTAAAGTGTGTAGAGACATTAGGTATTTTTGGAAGCAGGCAAGATGAAAAATTAGCAACGCCTCGCCGGGAGTCGAACCACGGACCTCTGGAATACGTGCCCAGCGTGCAGACCACCACACCACGAAGGCATGCCAAGAAGGTGGCAGAAATACCTTATAAGTAAAAATCTCCAGGGTGAACTTTTTTTAAACAAATTCTGATACATGCAGTCGCTTAAGTGATCAACACCATAAACTTAATGCATCTCTCTGTGAGCCTCAACCGCTTTCGTGCCTTTTTGAAAATAAAAAAAGTAAAAGTATGTCGAAAATGTTTATTTTTGCACCACATGCCAAAATTGACCATTAACTAACAGTTGTAAACAAAAATACATGGAATTTGTTTCTAAAGCAACCTAAATGTGTCAACTGCGAAATCTCAAAAGAAGAAAAAATTATAGCAGAATAACAAAACTAAATAACAAACCTGTTATCTATTTGTGCAAAACAAAATTACTTCTTGCCAACCCAATAACAGTCTCTTTGAGGTGACTTGCTTTGATAAAGGGTGCCTGTGTTCTTTTTAGATTTACTCATATAAAATAACACTTGATAATGTACTGCAGCCAATATTTGGACTCATTTGTGAAAATTACGGATCTTAATTGATCTTCAATAAATTTCACAAGACGACATGCCTTTTCATCTACTTTTTCTGTGACATGAGATGAAATGTAAATAAATTATTGGTTATATTAAGAACATATTATCTTCTTGAGTCTAATGCATTCAGAAAACAATGCATAACAAGAAAAAATTGCAGAAGTTAATGCTTATATTGCTTTTTAACTGGGGTTTGTGTTCTAGGTCTGTTTAACTGAACCTTCGAGGTGAAGAATTCATGCTTAAAAGTTGGTTCCAAAATCTCTGAACAATAAAAACAGTTTACATTTAATCACTGTACTACATTTGAATTAATATGATTTGCCTTTAGCTGGCTGAAGGCATACTACCATTATTTGTTTGCTAAATAAAATAGAGGTTTTTTTCATAGAATAATTACTTTATATTTTTGTATTTATATTAGGAAATAATGACTTAAGCTTAAATGCCTGTTTTTGTACTACTACCCAATAGTATAAACTTATACATTGCGATCATGCAATATTCTTGTACTGGCTACCTGACTAAATATGGTAAAGACTATGTTATTATTTAGTTACCATGAATTTTGTGTTTTAATATATTTAATGATAGGCTAACAAATGTATAGTTGCTCTTTGAAAAAGTTTGTAGTGAATAATATATATCTGTACGAAAGTTGGGAACAAAGTAAGAACTGTACTTTTAGATGATTGTCTACTATGCTACTACCATCACATGTTGCCTGAAGTACCGTGGGAGCTTGATCTTGTCAGTCAAGTGTGACGAATAAGCTAGAAACACCTTAGTCCATGGAACCAAAGATTAATGTTAAAGTTTTAATGGAGGAAGGGATCTCAAGCTCCCAGATTTTGACCAGGCTTTGCAGACAACATGGAGAACAATATCTGTCTCATATAGGTATGTAGATGTGTTGTCACATCCATGTTATAGTTGAGATTAAGCTCTTTCTTCTCCAGTGTCATCACATCACATCGGTTTGAAAGCTGATATTCATCTAACCAAATACTTTTTTTTTTAAGAAGTGATGAAACAACTTCCAGCATGCTGGGAAAGATACATTATAGCTCAAGTGGATTGTTTCGATTGATGACATGCTTTGAAATCACATAACCATTCTATTTTGAAATTCATTCAAGTCATGTCCACATGCTATAGTATTTTACTACATACAAATTTCTTTCATTTTTATGAAGATTATTTATGATTAACAAAATTGTTTATTAAAAATATTAAAATATTGTCAGAATTTGACTACACATTGATGACTAAATCTGAAATAGCTAAAGCATTCCACATCATACAGAAATATTTTTCGCAAGCTTTATGAACTAGAATATAAAGAGCTAGAAGTATACATCCAATTTTTTATTTAAAAAGTCTGTAGAAGAAAAATTTCATGACTTGGAAAAGCATCGGACAAGTAGCTGAACTAACATGATTGAAAATATCGTAGCAAATAGAAATTTCATAGAGACAAGAATCTTTTTTTTTTTTTTTTTTTTTTTTTTTTTTAAATGCTTATTTCTGGAACATTTAAAACTTCAGATGGAAGGCTGTATAAGAACTTTGTTGCTTCCCCCCAAAAAAGTTTGAAATGAAGGGTGAAACATTTTATAAGATACTAAATGAATATATAGTTAGACTAACATAGGAATATGTATCATCTGTATATTTAAAAAGTGTGTATAGATATGTATATAAAACATAGTTCTGTGAAAATATTTAATGACTTTAATTAGATATATTATGAATTAAATGCATATATGTTTGAATCAATCAGATTGAAAAGTAAAAAAAATATTCTTAAGAACTACATTTATTCCTTTAAAATAGCATAGTTTCTTAATCAATAACAGAGAGATTAAATGTGAAAGATAAATATCTTCTTACATTCTGCTGAATATCAACAGCCTCGAATAAAAAGTGAAACAATGCAAAATCATGTTTCAAGAGTAAACCCTGTGAGATTAAAAACATAAATAAAATTCTTAAATTATTAAGATAAAATTTGATTTTCCTGTAGCAATGTAAATAAAATTAATTACAATAAAAATGGGGGTGGGTGGAACTTGAACATTTAACTTCTATTACAAACACAGTTATTAATATTATTCATATTAATTATATAATATTATATCATGCTGGTTTTGAAATATATCTGAAACCTAAATCAACCAAAGAAATGTTAGATGCTCAGCATATTGATGATGAAAATTTTAATGAAAAGAAAATGCTGCATGAAATTTCTGAAAAATGAATTTGAAGGAAAAATTAGTTTTGACTATTTTGTTCTTATCTATTTTGATAAAAAATTCTATGGAAAGTCCATATAAAAGTAACATTTTTTGCTGTTGTGTGCAGGAAGAAATTTTTTTATCGCTGGATGAATTGAAGACATTCAATTAGACTAGTGCTAACATAAAGAGTAACCACTATAAGTGGTTCTTGTTACTTAAAAAGAAAGAAAACAAAATTCTTTTGGAAACAAAAAAAGCACACGAAGTTGTTTATTGAAATGAAAGATTATATTTTTAAAAATTTGCAATGCTTAAAAAACAAATAATGATTTCTGACTAGGAATATATTTTTTAGGAAATATATGTTTACAACATATAAAGTAAATGTAACCTTTTTTGTAATTTTGATTATTTTTACATCAAATATAATAAATACTTTTCTCTTAAATTTAATATTTCTTTTCAAATGAACGTTTGATAACAAAATTTATTAATTTCTTATCATTTCCTATGTACAAAATTTTTTTAGAAATCTTTAATTTTCATATAAATGCTGAGTGCTTAGAGTACACTAAAATTTTCATAATAAAACCCAATCACTACAATGTTCCTTTCTTGGAGAACAGAAAAGGGTTATGTTATAATGACTAACACCAACTGCCTATTCATAAAACTGATTCCAAGCATTATTTATCTTTATATGCTGTTATATTAGAATAATTTTATGAAAAGATGTGAAATATTATCTTCAAGCGAAAAGTCTTTTGAAAATCTAAAATATAAAGTTTATCTGAAATTACTTTAACTGCATTCTCTTATCTTTCAGTATGTTAAGCATTAAAACTGATCTCTCTCTCAAATTTTTGCAATGCTTAGCAGTGTTGCTACCATCTTTATGCTTCATAAAAAATTTTATATGTACAAAGCTGCTAATATGTGCAAAAATAATTTGAAAATATTGAACTATATACATGTTGTAGTATAAGCTTTTTTGTATATTCAGCTCTGCTATTTTAAATACTTCAAGTAAACTTTTATGCCAAATTTAATTTTAATCTAATTTGGTAATATTAAATTTTATTCTTCAGCTTTTTAGATTCATTCTGTAATATGTTTAGACTCTTATTATTGAATGTAGTAAATTTATATTTAATTGGATTTTTGCAGATTGTTAGAAGCTGGTGCACAGAAAGTATATGCAATATTGACTCATGGCATTTTTTCTGGTTCTGCTATTTCAAGGATAAATAATGCAATGTTTGATGCAGTGGTGGTTACTAACAGTATACCCCAAGACTGCCATATGAATGAATGTTCAAAAATTCAGGTAACTTCAATTAAACATGCCTTTTTTCATTAATATCAAATTCTCCGGTACATTTAAAATATTTTCTTCTATATGTAAGAAATCCTGCTGGATCTATTTTAATTAATTTCTGAAACATTTTACATTTGGTAAAGGCACATAATTATTGGTCTAAAATTAATGACAGTTTCTATTTTTCTGTAAGATTAATGCTAAAACTTTTATCTCCCAAACTAAAATAATGTGTAAAAGCATATTTGTTGAATTAAATTCCATGCAATATATTTATTGATATTTCCTCTACATTTTTAGCATTCCTGCATAATAAGTTATGTAAACACTGCATGTCATTCTGAATATTATTAAAAGAATTTTTTATTTTCAGTGCATTGATATTTCAATGATATTAGCAGAAGCCATTCGCCGAACTCACAATGGTGAATCTATATCATACCTCTTTAGTCATGTTCCTATGTAGTTTCCAAATGCCAACTTTATTAGAAGTGCCAGTTATCTCAGAAAATGTGATATGTGAATATCAAAATGGAGTTAAAGAATATCTGAAATCTCATTTACTTTTTCATTTTATTTTTGAGAAACCATAATTTCTTTCATAATAAATATTTCTACTAGTAAATTTCATCTTGCCAAAGGGAAGAGACATGACACGTCTTGGATGTACACTACAAAGATTGTTTATATACATATCCTCTCAAGATAAATAAGTATAATCTAGTCCTCTGAAAAATTAAATGTATGAATAATGTTTGTTTCATATTTTGTACAGGTCATGTATTATGATTTTTTTTAGAAAATATTAAATCATGAATATTTTTAATAATAAAATGAGAAAAGGTATCTTTGTCACTTTCGGTGTCCCAGGATGACTGTTTTTAATTGTGTGATTTTGTAATCTCTATACTATTCTTAAATTCTAGATGGAAATAGTATAGAATATGATGGATTGTTATTTGTAACAAAAAGTTAAAAAGATTATCCAATGGTCTGTAAAACTGTAAATTTGCACAAAGGTTGTCATATAATTTATTATTTGGAATCTCAGTCATTAATTTCATCCAACTTTATATAACACTCATTTTCCATCACTGCCATTCCTCAATGTAAATTAAAATACTAATCTTAGTAGTTGTATAAAGTTTTGCAATTACTTTAAAATTTATAGAATTTTAAAAGATCTGATATTTTTCAGACTGATTATTAACACCAAAAGATGGAAAGGAACTTTTTAAAAGAGAAGTCAATATTTAATTATCACTTTATGAATAATATAGATTGTTAATGCAACATCTAAATTATCAGAGGAATTTTCTTGCATCCTATACTGTTGCAAGATACATTTAGCTATGGAACAGTATTTTAGCAAACAGTTTTTAAACTTATTACAGAAATATTTGATATTTTTAATTCTGAATAAATATAAACATGAAGTAAGGGTTAACCTGACAGTAATTATTAAAATCTTCCGTTGTCATTTTCCTGTTATGCAGGTTATCTTACAGGAGCAATAATTGAAAATAGAACCTGTTTTTCTTGCATTTGCTTTTATAAATGTTACACTTTTTTGGCATCATTATATTAGTTAGAGAATAATAATAATTATTTTTCTTAAATGGAAGATGTGTACTATATTTCCAAACAAAATACTTGCCCTTTCCATACATATAAAATTGAAGTCACTATAAATTTTTGTTAAAACCATCTTTTTTTTTTTTACTTATTTAACCTTCTGAATTGCAGAATATCAAAATATTTAACATCTTCAAAATTTGACATAAACTGTTTTCTAAGTTTGATACATTAAGTAATGAAACTTTATCAAACTGTGGTGGTTTCATTTTAACTGAAATGTGGTATAAGAAAAATTCAAACACAAAACAGTATTACTTAATTATGTAGAAAATTATAGCAGTAAAATTATCTATTTTAACAAAATTCAATCACTTTTCACAAATTACTTCTGTGATGTTAATTAAAGAACACTGGATATTTCCATGAAAAAATTCTGCAACTTGTTTTATGTCCCATTAGCTAGAAATCTTTCAGGTGAGCTGATTGTATTTTGTGTTATTATATTTGCATCCTTGAATATGAGCTACGCTAATTCAGTGACAACTCGAATAAAACTATGTAGATATATTAATTACAACATAAATATATATATATTTATAGGCTGATGTCTTTCATCCTATTTAACTCGACTGAAAAAAAGCTTTCAATTACAAAACATTTTCAAGAAAAATTTTATGTCGTATTAACAAAAATATATATTGTTCAATTATTTTCTGTAATGCTGTATACATATAAAAGTGCTGTATTAATTCATCATGAATACAGTAGAAAAGTTTTATAATACTCTTATATATTTATGCCTGCAATTTTCAGATAATACTGTTTAAATCTATTTTATATTTTGTTGTCAGAATTTCAATTTAAATTAAATAAACATAAATATATTTTGTATGTTATAAAAATATAACTGATATTTTAAACAACTTTCATGTACATTTTTATAAGATATTGCATTTATATTACCATTCATTTTACTTATCTTAGTCAAGAACAAAAATTGTATGTAAAATTTTAGCAAAAATTTTATACACAAGTGAACCATTAAAGAAATGGTTTAAAAAATGTTAGAGTTAAAAAATATAAATTTTAAAGCAGCATTTGGAGAAAGCATACTGAAATTTTTTTCAACACTAAAATAGAACAGCAATATTTTAAACATTTTGGTACTTCCATTTCAGATGATGATGAGGAGAAATAGTTTATTATACATATTGTCCTATTATAAATAATGAAATTCTATTTGAATAAAAAATATTTTTCATTTGTTTTGAATTTTATGTGTAAGCATTTATTGTTTTGTCAAATATTTTGTGCATTTGAATTTATGATTTTTTATATAATTGTATTTAGTACATAACAAAAGATCACGGCTATTATGATAAATTCTTAAATACACAGTGAAAAATTTTAGAATTTTTTAAAATTTTAGAATTTTAACATTCTAGAGCAAAAACTTCATTTTTTTAAGGCATGTTGATATTTTTAAAATTAACATTATTGATACTTTTTACTCATTTTATCAATTTAATCCATATAGAGGGATAATGTTAAAAAATCCAAAAATACTAGTGAAGTGGTTACTTTGAAATTTTAAGGTAATCAAGATGAAAAATGTTCTGCATTTATTATTGCATGTAACATATTGAAATTATATTTTGTCTTAGTACATCAAACAACTTTCTAAAAGAATATTCTAAATTATCAGAAATTTCCCTTAAGAAACAATATGAATATAGAAGTAAACAAGGTGCCCGGAATTTTGGAGTAGATAGTTGATTTCTAATGATTCATTGATCAAGTGTAAACAAACATTATGAGACAAGTACATATCTTTGATAATAATAATTATGCAAAATATATCCATGCTTTAAAGTTAACTGTCAGCGGTCATTTCAGATTAGCATTTATCTTCAACTAATTAGCAATTTTATATTAAAATGTAGGAGAAGTGTTATGAATTTCTGAATGATGTTATATACTCTACATAAGATGTTTTAAGAATAAATGCATGTAAACAAGAAAGAGTGCATCTATAGTTCCAGTTTAAGAACTGAATCAAATAAGGTAAACTTTCTTATTACGAAACTTTTAATTGTGCAACACCATTTAAAAAAATGTGCAAAATTAAAATTTTTGTATATGTATATACACACACACCCTCTAGCAGGATCTAATGAGAAAGTAATTTTTAGAAACTGTTCTTATTCTGCTGAAGACCAGCATGGAAAAATCATTTTTTGTAAAGAATCCAAAGTTGGAAAGAAATTATCCAAATAACAGCATTTAAATCATTTTAACCCAATGAATATATGGCATGAAATACTTGCAATGACAAGAGGTTTTAGTTTATCATATTTACACCTAATAACAGTTATTTGGTCTTTGCTCTTTTTCACCAAAGCTTTTATTGGAAAAGAAAGATAATGTCTTCTCTAGTTTAAAAAAAATTCTGAAAGGTTTCGGATTTTAAATTACATCCAAAGAGTTTTTTTTTTTTTTTTACATTTTGTTCATTACCTTCATTTATTAAATATAATGTTCTTCGCACTTAAACCATAAAATCCAGTTCAAGAGCAGTATCGCAAAATAATTTTAAAACGGGCATATCTTTAGAATTTCTGATACACAGTCTTACACGCTGGATATAAAAATTTTTTTTTCTGTACAACATTGCCATTGCTCAGCCAGATGCCCATATTAGCAGGAGGATTACATTATTCAAAATTTGATGGCTCTAGGTACCGTTGTTTTATCACAATGCGAGAAACATACATTTATGCAGATTCTTCATTATTTAATTTCTTTAAATATAATACAGAGTGATAATATTTGGTGGCAACAATTTGAAAAGTGAAACAACTCTTGTAGTGAATCAATGCAAAATGCAAAAATGAAATTATTAGTCCTTCTATCAAATTGCCCCTTTGGAGTACTAAATAAATTAGAAATATTTTAAAATTATTATTGTGGTTAAAAACATTTTTCAGCATGTTTTTCTGCTCTTTTATGGAAGCAGTATCCATTGAAGCTGATTCCCTATTTTTTAAAAGAAAACTTGGGCATTTCTTTTATTCATTCAGTCTGACCACTACTAGTTTAAACCTCTTTTGCTATTTCAAATACCTTTTTCTTAAGATTCTAAATATAGACTTATTTCTGGCCCTAGCACTGCTGATTCATCTAATAAACAACATTTCAGATTTTTAAAAGTTTGACTTCTGAAGCCTTCCCCCCCCTTCCATTTATTCTGTAAGCAATTATTGAGCTTTCCTCGTGATGCAAGAATGTTTTTCAAGGATGTCTTTCCGGTATTCTGCTTTTAGGCAAATGCTGCTTCAGACATTTTACATTTTTGATATTTATCAATCAATTTAACATTTACATTTAACTTCCATGAATGCACTTTTACCACCATTTTCCTGAATAAATGAAGTTTATTAACCATACCTTTCCCACTAAGAACTCTTTCTCTAGATTTTGGGACCATTCATTGAGAAATGAAATTACTTATTGGATGAATTTCTTACCACCCACAAGGCTCAGTTGCAATTACATGCTATTGCTCTTTTGGATGAGAAATCTTCCAAGAGGTTACTCAAAGTTTTTTTATTTGCTTGGGGACCAAGCAATGACATTTAATGAAACACGAAAAACATGTATACTTCCTTTTCTGGGATGATACAGATTGATAACCATCACTAATAGAAATGCTCATGTGATTTAAGTATGTTTATTTTCAGAGAATGACAAACATGACTCATGTTGTATAATCCTCATTTAATTTCTTACTACAGTTTTCTAAATATTGAGAAATAAATGCTGCATTATGTATATGTTTGAGAAAAGAAAAATTAGAATCAGAAACAGTTTAATTTATATTTTTTAATTCTGTACTAAGATTTTAAGAACTGAGGAATTTAAAATCCTTTTGCTTTGTAGGAAAACGAATATTTCATCTCAGTTTTTCATCTTGATTATCAGATGCTAATTCATTTGATGGATTTTAAAAGAAGATAGGAATGTGAGACACTCTGTTTTCCTCCTAGCAAAGAAATAATTCTGAATACGAGTTTGAATATGACCTGAAAGTAGGAATCAGCATCTCAAAAGTGACTTAATATCTCATATACATTATATGGAAATTAATTATAACTTACAACCAAAAAATTTGACAAAAGCAGAATGACCTAATATCTTAGTTACTTGATAATATAATATGGTTTTACTGTAATAAAAGTATATTTGTTTATCCTCAATTCATCCAATAAACTTCATGCAAGATAGACTGGTTAAGGGATGTCAAAGTACTGTCCACCTTATTCATAAAATTATCTGATAGGAAATTTAAGACATCTTCATATGAGTAAAATCAAAATATATTACTTGAGTAAATGTCATATGAGTTATTTTTGAAGATGAAGATAAATTTGGAGAGATTCATCCACTTCTTAAATTCATCTTTAAACACATAAAACATTCTACAGAAATTGAAACTAGAACATTTAATGGACACACACACACACACACAAAAAAAAAAAAAAAAAAAAAAAATGCAGAAAGTTCAGCAACTAATAAGGAAACGTAAATCATTATTTATGAGTCGAGCACTGCAAAGGCAAATTGTAAAAATCTTTGGTTTGAACAGGATTTAAGGTACTTTGGGATTAAAGCGGTCACCTTGATCATTTGCTGTAATAGGAGGATTATTCGCCAGGCTTGGCATTTGTAATCCCCAAATTTTTTAAGTTGCAACGATTTGATTTTCAGATTGTTTTGATTGCAATGTTGTTCACGTTTTGAATCAATTCTGTTATACTTTTTTCCCTCTAAAATGTTTTTTAACTTAAAATCAATTAGAAAAGCAATAATTTTTTGTAATATTCATAATGTGCCACATATTTTATTTTCACGCCGACATCCAACTCCATGATGTTCTACAGTCCGGATTTAATCCGAACATCCATAATCCGGACCTCAAAGCTACAAACTTTATGCGCATGCATAAACGCATTAGGTGTTTAAGTATGCGCATAATATGTTTACACGTGCGCGTTTAATGCATGCATTCGCTACGCATGCGCGTAAAGAGAAGAGATACTGTTTATAGAAGAGAGATGTTTTAAAGGAATATACATAAATTTATTACATATTAAGTGTTTTTATTGTTTGATTAAGAACTTCTAATGAACTTTACTGATTTCGATCAACCAGGTGCCTTCTCAAGATCATGACTTCTCCTCTGACTGCCTCCATGCCAGTGTAGCACAAGACGAAGAATATCTTTCATTCTTATTTTACGTACTCATGAACTTGCATTTTGAACTTTCGACTCGTGCGACAATGTACTAGAAGTACATCTTTGATTTCTTTTAAAATCAAGCAAATGTTTAAATGGTTATAAATTTTCAGGATACTGGTTAGAACTCTTTGTAGTTAATGCCAACTGTAAAGATAAGATCCAAGACCCATAGAAGAGAGAATTAAAGAGAAAGCATTAGCACAAAAAACAAAGCAACTTAAAACAACTTACATTGATAGAAGTATTTACTAAAGTAAACAAATAAATATTAAGCTTTTTTTTTTTGTAAATTTTGATACCATTTAGATCGTAATTGCTCTTTATTTCATAAATTATGGTTTCATATTTTTAATTGTATAATTTCTGCATGCCATCTTACCAGATTTAAATTGATGATCTGTAATCTGGAATCGCCGAAGTTCCAACGAGTCCAGGTTACAGACTTTGTACTGTATTAACTACTTTTTTAAAATTCTTGGCAACTTTCCATAAATTTAAAAAAAAAAAAAAAAATAGTTTATTTGTGATATTTATTCATTCATAATTGCTCTTTATTTCATAAATTATGGTTTCATATTTTTAATTGTATAATTTCTGCATGTTATCTTGCCAGATTTAAATTGATGATCTATAATCCGGATAAACCCCTAATCCGGAATCGCCGAAGTCCCGACGAGTCCAGATTACAGACTTTGTACTGTACTAATTATATTTTTTAATTGTTGGCAACTTTTAATTTTCCATAAATTTGAAGGGAAAAAAAAAAAAAAAAAAAGAGTTTATTTGTGATATTCATTCATCCTTAATGCTTTTTCTAAAAAGGTGATTATGTTTAAGTTGCTATTAACTGAAAAAGAAGCAGTATTTTTCTTACAACATCACAGAATTTTGTATAGGGAGCAAAAGTAAATGGCTACAAAAAAAGGGGAGGATTTACTAAATGAAATTATTTAGGGAAGCTGAAGTTAAATGGTGAAAGAAAAAAAAAAAAAAAAAGAGGAATGACTCACCAACATTTAAGCAAGGAGAATTTATGTAACAATATATAAGATGACACAAAATATTTGATTCTTTTATAGCAGCAATTACCAAATTATGAACTCCAAAAATGTAAATATTTTTTCCCCCTCCAAAGGTAAATAAATATTTTACATTAAGTAAATAAATGTTCTTTATTATGTTCCCCTATTATGGATTTTCATCTCTTGAAGGTTACTAAAGTATTTTTTAATATTTGTGACAGTTATTTAAATGTTGCCAAATTTCCCGGAAGCACCCTTCTTAATTTCAAGATGTTCATTCAAGTATAGTTTAAAATGAATTGCTCTCGTCATTATTGATGAGAAAAGAAAACTGGGTATTCTGAAAATGCCTTGTGCAATTTCCAAGTTTAACAAATGGTTTAATCCTTTATATAATATAATAATTTCCTAATAAAAATATTATAGTGCACACATACATATTTATATCAGTTTTATGTGCAGTTCATAATTTTAGAAATTTTTTATATGAGATCAAGGGTATTACATAATCATAACACTTGAATTAATGTTTTATGTTAAATGCTATTTGAAATATGTCTTCCAAAATCACAGCTGAAATTAAAACAAAGTAGCCCCCCCCCCAAAAAAAACAGTATTAAATAATTCCACTACATTATTAAACAATATCTTTCTTCTTTTAAATAAACATCCAACTGGATTTAAAAGCATGCTAAGTTACTGACACCTGTGAGTAAAAAATAAATCACTGCTTAAAAATTACACATAGAAAATGTTTTAAATCATGTCTGAGACATCAATGATGCTTATTTATTATTACCACATGAAGGGAACACAAATTAGGGAAATGCTGAACATGTGACAGTCATTGTGCCAATCTACAAGTTTTATAATATATAATACAGGTAGCCCTCCTACAACATTGCATCCTGTAACACAATTCATAAATTGCAAGAACCCTCCTATAACATGATAAGAAAATTGCCCAAGCAATCCGAGAAATTGAATGAACTCCGCACAAAACTTTTCCATATTGCGCAAAGCACCCATATAGTCATTTAACACATAAGAATCCTTGTTTTGTAAGTTCTGCCAAGATTTTGTAGCTGTAAGAACAAATGTCCTCATATGACCCGTACGAACAAATGTCCCCAGATAACAACGAAGAAACATCACTATCGCAGAAGGTGAACATGAGGTCACAATAAGTGCTTTAAAACGCAAAACCTGCACATTCAGCTTCCAGAATTCGAATCCTAGCCTCCGTGGCCTGAAAACAAAAGTGTCTTGCACAGCTCGTCTTCGTCGAGCGACAGTGAACTAAAGAGTAACTTTTTCGTCTTTAAGACGTTAAGTTTCAGTCCCAAAACATGTCCAATAAAGGTAAAAAAAAAACATTTAAAAGGAAATTCATTTCTTTAGAAGTATAGCTACAAATCTTGAACCATCTTTTAAAAGGAGAAAAGACATCTCACATTGGAAAAGTTTTAATTGAAATGAAAAAAAAAAAAAAAAAAGTTTAGACTATTAAATAAGAAAGAAGAAAAAATGAAAAAGAAATAAGAAATACAGTTGCTGCAGGATCTTCGGCATCTGCAAAACATGCAGTTCGCCCCCGGGGGCGCTAATAATTGAAAAGATGGAAAAGGCACTGAGCATTTGGATTGATGACAGCTATCAAAAAAGAATTTCCATGGAAAGTAATATCATCAAACAAAAAGCACTTAAAATTTTCAAGCACTTCAAAGAAACCCTCTGTCAACCCCAGATTTCCTGGTAAGTAAAGGTTGGTATGAAAATTTCAAAAAGCCTTTTGCAATTCATAGCATAAGAATTCAAGGAGAATTTGCATCAACTGATTATGAAGCTGCTAGGACGTTTCTAGAAAAATTTCAAAATATTATAGAACAAAGATACACAGCAGTTCAAGTTTTCGATGCTGACAACACTAGGCTTTAGTGGAACAAAAATGCCCAGTAGAACCTTTATATCGAAAAAGAAAAAAAAAAAAAAGAAAAGAAAAGAAAAAACGCATGCTGATTTAAGATGTCTAAAAATTCTCAAATGCTATTTTTTAAGAAAATGCCAGAACTTTAAATGAAGAAAGAAATTCTGAAAGTGAAAGCGATCTCATTCCACCGAAAAAACGTTCTCTATTGATTATACTGAGCAATGACAACAAAGAAATTTATTACACTAAATTTGCGTTAAATTAAAATATGTAATATTTTTAAATTTGTATTGTACATACATATATATTTTTAATAAAAATTAAGTTGTTTATGTATAATTAAAAAAATATTTGTTTTTAATAAGTTTTCGGAACGTAACCCCCTTTTTATACTGCTTCTGGGCCTCATACAACACAACATTTCAACATTCAACACAACATTCTATTTTCTAGAAACCTACCTGCTGTGTTATACGAGGGTTACCTATACAACAGTATACTACAAAAATTAAGTGCCTATATGGAAGTTTTATAATGTAAAAAATATCATATCTCAATCATGAAAAAAAAATCAAGGTATTTACGAGCTTAACCATATAAATGAATATTAACCACTTGCACTAAAAAGACGTGCCACGCATGTCGAGATGCTTTTGTTTCAAATTGCATGCAAAAATGAAAATAACGTGGTGCACATGTCGTCTAACAACGAGATTGTTCATTTCTCAAGTTACAGCTCTGGATTGCACTCGCAGACATGGAACGGCATAAATGAGACACTTTACACCTTGTTATATTGTAGTGCACTGCACCGCAACCGTGAAGTTTTTTCGTAGCGAAAGTGGTTAAATGGTTACAGGCTTGATTAAACCACATAAAATAGGTCCAGTATAATGTCTTTTATAAATGTGCAGTATTTACTCTTCAGTAAAGTAACTCAATCTATAAAAATATTTATTTTTAGAATTAAAAATTGTTATATGGCATACAAAATAGTACTCAAAAGTTTCCATATATATACTACATGACTTTTTTTTGATAGAAAACAGAAATAAAAATATAAGCTCTCATATGAAATATTTAGGCACCACTCCACTGTTTTTTTATAGTTTCAAGATCTGGCATGTTGTGTAACTCAAAATCGGTCATAACTTGTCCACATGCTTTACCCTGTGATATGAAGATAAAAGGAAAAAAAAAAAAAAAAAAAGACTCCAATTAATATTACTAAAATATTTATATATCACTAAAAATATAAATGCATAAAAGACAGGAAATCATTTAAATAATATGTTTTGCTGACTATTAATGCACTTTTAATCAGTTTGCATATCCTGGTTACAGGCTGTATTCCTTTTCTCTTCAATGGGTCAGGCCGTATATGCATATTCAAGAATATTTTTATTGATACTTATAAAGAATTATGCGTATATGCATCCTGAAATGTGTCCAAACTATTAATAATGTTTATTAGAAGGAAAAGAGCCCAGGTGTAAAATAACATGGGCATTTTTGGGAAATTGGGGTTCTTATTTTCATAAAAAAATATTCTGTATTGGTGAAATAATATACAGTACAAAGTCTGTAATCCGGAATGATCTATAATCCGGACCTCAAAGCCACAAACTTTTTTTTTTGTATGCTTTACGCATGCGCGTAGTGTGTTTACACATGCACGTTTAATGTTTACGCATGCGTATTTAGCACAAAAAACGAAGCAACTTAAACTACTTACATTAAAAGAAATGTTTAATAAAGTAAACAAATATTAAGCTTTTTTTTTTTTTTTGTTGTTGTAAATTTTGATTTGATATCCTTTAGATCATAATTGCTCTTTATTTCATAAATTACGGTTTCATATTTTTAATTGTATAATTTCTACATGCCATCTTACCAGATTTAAATTAGTGATCTATAATCCAGAAAAACCCTTAATCCGGAAACGCCAAAGTCCTGAGGAGTATGGATTACGGACTTTGTACTGTATAATGAAATTTTAACGTGAACGAAAAATTACATGTATCTGCATCTATATGCTATTTTAGGAGCACTGTAAATGAGCGAATACTTTTTTTCAAATACCGGCTGACAAGAAATGAAAGTGCAACTTCTGTATACCATCTTTTAAAGTATTCACATTCAAAATCTTCCCTTTGGGATTGACACATTACATTCATAGAGAGAGAGAGAAAGAGTCTATAAAAGAGTTCCTGAAATACTTTCTAGGACTGTTGTACATAAGCTGTAGTTGTCTGAATGGAATGACAGTAGTAAATGTAGGCTGAAGAAAAAGCACTAGTCATGCTTGAAGCATAAAGTGGCAGATCGACTAAACAGACACAATGCAAGCTTTCCACGAGCTGGAGACATGACTTCTGAAATTGAAGAATCACTGGAAGAAGCATTTTAACAAATTTGTTGTCTATTTAACTTGTAACATGTCGAAACTACCCAAGTCAAAGAAGAAAGATAAATTATTAAAAAATCTTGATGTTCTTAAAGAATGCAGCCAGAAGAAAACTGCATTTAAACTGGGGATTTCCCGACTTGCATTATGCAATTTATTCAAATAAAGAATTATAACTGACGAAGAACTAATAAAGTATGCAAGGGCTAAACAAACGAAAAATCTAGAGATACAGAGATTGCTCTTCTAGAATGGTTTCAAACTATGGAACTAAAAATATGCTCCTTTTTCTAGAGCTCTATTATTTATAAAAGCTTTCACTTAAAATGTTTTAGAAAACTCTGAATCAACTGACAGATGACTCACAAGTCGTGAAGCGAGGAATCCAATTTTGTTCATTGGAAACTGCATGGTGAGAAAGAAGAGAGCACCATGTGACTAATACCTGAATAAAAGAAATTTTATGTGGCTGCTTAATGATTCCAAACTATATGAAATTTATAATACAGACAAAATTGGACTGTACATTTTTGTGTTCAGGTAATGTACAAACAAATATTGAACATTACTTGAATGCATATTAATATTTAAAAGTGCAACAGCAACTGGTCTAAGAAACTAAAGGAATGAGTCACTACGTTATAATGTGCAATATAGACCTAACAATTAAGAAGATAACACTGATTATTGACAAAGCAGGAGACCTCGATGTTTAAAAGGAGTCAAGAATTTACCTCTAACTTATCACAACAAGTCATGAATGGCAAATAGTATTTTCACTGATTTCTTTTTGAAATGTGTAAACTGAAAACTGATAAAAGTAGCTTTACTAATTAAATAATTGTTCAGCACACATCTCTGATCTTTTTCTGTAAATACAATTTCTAACATTGAGCTTTTAGACCAAATTTCAGATGCCATTACAGAAAAGAAGATGTTTAGAAAATGAACAGAATTGCATTTTCTGAAAATGCAAACATTTTGAAAGCAACAAGTCTATTGAATCTGTTAAAGGCTATATATACAACAGCTAATACAGAGAGCCGATTACTTAAAACACAATTAAAAACTGTTTTTTTATGCTATTGCTAATGTTTAAGGCAATAAACAAGAGAAGTTATGATTTTAGAATATACGTAAATTGAGAACAGTATCGAGATTATATAGAAACTGACAGCAAAATTAATGCAGGAAAAGTGATGACATCAAATGAATCCAGAAAAGCTCCGAAAATTCAAAGAAAAAATCTGGAACTGAGAAGTGTTGATAAAAAAATACCAGCAATTTTTTTAAAAAATACTCATGAAAGAAACAAAACAAACATGTATAAAACAATTTATTGTAAAAGATCAAATTTCATCAAGAATGTGATTATAAAAACAGTTTTATAAAAAATTATAACACAAATTACAAAACTGCATAATTTAATTTAATTTTATCATTAATTATTTTTTTTATAAGTTTAAAATTGATATCACAATCTGCAATACACTGATTGTCATCTATTAAAAATCATCTGCTTAATAAACTCAAAATATTTGGGAATAGTGATTTCAAAAACTGGCAGATACTGTACATGAAAATTATATCAGAAGCACCTGAAATGCTGAGATTTAACCCTTTCTTATTTTAATATCAAATACACAATTTTTATTTGCAGCTATTTATTTCAACAGCAGAATCAGCATGAAGCATATTATAATTTTCCCTACCATAAACAAAGCAACCAGAGTTACTATTAATTAAATTAATGAGCTCAAATGCAATATTCTACATTAATCATATAATAAAGTATTTATGTAATTTATCTGTATAGAATTTTATCTGACAGAAATAATTCTAAAGTATGGATACCTTTCAAAGTGTTTTGAATGTATATACATTAGTGCCTTCCAATAAGTGATATCTACCGAACCAGACATTTTGTCCCTTAAATAGGTGTTATTTATTAAGAGGTAACTAAATACATGCCTAGTTCAAAGAGACCAAGATCAACATAATTGTCTGTTAAATAAAGGTGCCTTTTACAGGAGGTAATACTGTATATATTTATATAAATTGTTCCCAATTGCTGCATTACCCGTCATTTTAATCAACACAGCTTTGTATATTATTCAGTTTTTGCACTAAATGACAACTGATTCTCCTTTTTTTAAGAATGTTCATATCTGACAGTAGCACTTGTATGCAATATAATGATTTTTTTAAAACTGACATTGACAGTTTAAATGTCAATTATTGTATTTAATACTGTGCTCATATAATTTAAAATTGTTTTTGCAGACTCTTTTGTACACAGACTTATGAGATATTAAGTTTTATTTAGAAGTGAACTGCACCTTATTTGAAGAAACTGAAAGTCTAGATATAAATGCTATTTAGAGATACTGATAAATTTGTTTTGTAGCTATTTGAAAATTAAAATTAACAAGTTTAAGATTCAGAATTAAAGAAGCCTGCAAGTTTAATCTAATTATGACAAACATGTTAGTAGTGCAAAAAGCAGTCATTTTTAATGACATATTCCAAGTTTGAAAGATTAACAATATCAGACATAATTATCAAAATGAGGATTAGAAATAAAATTTGCTATCATAGAGACTTTTAACCACAATTCATTAATTGTTTTAACTTATTTATTGTGCAGTAACATACACTATGCATAAGATAAATTTGTCCTTGCATTTTAAAGCAGACTTTTCATTTTCAAATACAAACGCTGCTATTTATAATTAACACTAATTTTTTAAAGTTACTTCAGGTAATAATTTTATGAAATTATTATAATTTTTGTATGGCTATGAATATATAAAGTTACAAGAGAAATAAAATATTTTCTGCACATAAATTTTTTATTTCGTACTTATAAAGTAATAAATACCTGTGGATCACTTCTTAGAGACGCAACACCTCCACCACCTAGAGATTCTTTTAACAGGAAGTTTAATGCACTTATTCCTGGTAGAATATATCTGCAGAGAAAAATATTTTTTTTGAAGCAGTATTTTAAAATGAAAGAAATATTTTTAAGATAATGCTTCATCATGCATTTTTAGCACAGTTTCAATGGAAAATATGGAATGAAGTTTAATGTAAAAAGTTAGTTAACAATGATTGTGAAAATTGCCTTCTTGGGCAATCTGTCACACTGATCAGCAATTTAAACTTTTGAACTCATTAAGATTTCTAATTGCATTTAGTTAAGTACAGACTTATTCAAGATGCAATGATTTATTATGGAAGGATAATGTAGATATGGATCCATTTAGAACAGGCCACTACAGCTTAGACCATCATGTCTTTATTGTCTTGTCCTTGGAGAATCTCAGTGAACATATTTTAATAATTATTACACACCAAAATGTACAGTTAACATAGTCATAACTATTTCTCATAAAATATTGTGATTCTGAGAAATGCTGGTTGATAAATACTGTCTTAGACGATTGAATAATTTAAAAAAATGAACAAAAAACAATTTTTGTACATATATTATGATAAGTTCCATTCTTAAATTTACTATCAATGTGGTTTATTTGCTAACTTTAACAATACACAGTGATACAAATCACTTACTATCAGTATTATGTAGATAAATTCCAAGAATGAAATTATTGTACATAAATTAATATGTAAAAATTATTTTCCTAATACTTTTGCAAGGAATTCAATAAAGTCAGAGAAATTAAAGGACAAGTCTGAAATTCATTAATGAGACTAAAAAGCAATTAATTATCTTTTATTGTCAAGCTTAATTACCTAGTCTCCTTATATGGCTGGCAATTACCTTACAGAATAATAAAAGAAAATGATACAGTCATGTATCTGGCAGCGGTGAGCCAATCAGCTGCCTGGCAGAGCCCAGCAAATGAGAGAGACAAGAGTTGCATGTTAGCCTCAGAGGAGAGAGGTTGTAGGTTAATTATGTTGTCGAGGTAGTGCTCCGAGTTTGCCTTTATTCTTTAAATGTTAATTTTTTTTCCTATTATTCTTTGAAAGTTAATTTTTAATAAATGTTGGTGTCGTTTTCCTTATGGTGCCTTATTAATCCGTAAGGTCATTACAGCACGCTCTCTTTCGAGAACCAGAGCTAACGAAACCGACTGGATTTTGAGAAAAGGTGAGAAATTTTTGTTGTAACTTTAAGGAAAATTTCTTCTAAATATGTTTAAAGGAGTAGTTAAAAGTGATTTGATTTCGGTGTTGAAGGAACTAGGTGAAGAAGCCGATTCTAGTTTAAAAGTTGTAGAATTAAAAGATAAGCTTTTAAGTTCTAAAGAATATTTGAAAGATAAAGATTTTGTTATTGAATTTCTTAATACTACGGTTGAAGAAAGGAAAAAGTCAGAAGAAGAAATTGTGAAATTGCGTTTAATGCAAATCGAAAGTAGCAACGAATCTAGTAATAACGTAGAAAATACACTTTCATTAGATAAGCTTTTGAAAGCTGTACAGGCATTATCGATTTCTGTACCTAAAAAGGGTGGGTGAAGCATGGAACTTATTTTTTGATTCCATAGAAAGGGCTTTTAAGCATAAGAACGTACCAAATGAGTTTAAGTCTGAAATTTTACTTAAACTGATAGGTGATAAATCTTCTAATATTCTAGTATATATTAAAGATGATGATTTGAAAGATTATGAAAAAATTAAATCTTTAATTCTTAAGGAATATGAACCATCGCCAATTATATGTTTAGAAAATTTTCGCCAAGCTCAAAGGTTGACGGGGGAAACTCATTTGCAGTTCGCCTCTCGTTTAAGATCATGTTGGATCCATTATTGTAAAAGTAGAAACGTCAATGATTTTGAGTCTTTAATTAACTTAATAATTTCTGACAAACTTTTTCAAACATTGGATAGTGATTTAGCGTGCCATGTTGCAGTTCGACAAGGTGAAAGTTGGCTACGTCCAGAAGAACTAGCGAAGGAATGCGACACTTATTTCATCGCAAAAGGTAAATCTTTTGATGACATAAGAGGTGAAAAACGCGCTAATTTTCGTGATTCATACAACAAAAACTCTAAATATATTCCACCACCAGCGCTAAGAAAAGATTTAGTGGTAAATGAACAGAAACATTCGTTTAAACCGCGAGAATGTTATGTGTGTAGTAGCAGTTTACATTTGGCTAAGGATTGCCCGAACAGGCGAAATAAATTTGAGAGGTCCAATAAACAGAACGATAATTTCCCGGTCAAACCGAAAGTTAACACTTCAAGTAAAGTCGAAGGACAATGCGGTTGTTACAAATGTAAATTCTAAACATTTACAAAAACCCGAGTGTTCCGACGGAAAACTTAATTTTTATTCCTTGGAAAAGATTACTATTTACATTGCAGGGAAGCAAGTAGAAGCTATAAAAGATTCAGGTACGGAAATACCAATTTTGAACACTACATTAATTCCTGATTTAAAAATAGAAAGTAAGGGTAAAATCATTTTAAGTTCCGCATTTGGCGACGTCATAGAGGCAACGTTAGCAACTATTCCCATTTATTACAAAAAACCAAACAGTTGTCTATATTCGCGCGTAGCGTAGAAGCTCTTTTCGCGTTGACAGATAAGCTAAATGTTCAATGTTTAATTACACCAGATGTATGGGATCGCATATTTGAAGACGAGAATGAATCAACAGTCTTCCCTGAAACGAAACCGGAAACTCATGAACAAAAACAACTTGAGGTTGGGCGCCGTTGAACTGTCAAATGTAAATCTTTTTTATAGCTCAGTTGCGAATCAGAATGATGAAAGACTAAACAGTTATTCGGAATCGAATAAATTTAAGGTCGATCAGAGAAACTGCCAAACGTTAATAAATTCTTTTAAGGACGCAGAAGTAGGGAAGAATAATTTCTTTTTACAGGACGAATTATTATTTCATAAAGAAAAAATTTGTGGGGAAAACATACAACAGTTAGTTTTGCCCGAGAATTATCGAAATAAAGTCCTTCAATTAGCTCATGATTCCATATTCGGAAATCATTTAGGTATGAGGAAAACTAAAGAAAGAATTAAGCTTTCATTTTATTGGCCGAACATATCCAAAGATGTAGAAAATTATTGTAGAACATGCGAAAGATGTCAATTAAAAAGTCCGGAAAGACAATCGGATAAAATTCCGATTACTCCTATTGTTCGCGCGCCATATCCCTTTCATACAGTAAATATAGATATTATTGGTGAAATTTCACCTCCTTCAGGAAGGAAACATAAATATTGTTTGTGTTTGATAGATAATCATTCAAAATGGCCAGAAGTCATACCTTTAAAAAGTCTCTTTCTGCTAAAGCTACTTGTGAGGCTCTTTTAGATATTTTTATGAGAACCGGTATTCCAGAAATAATTTGTAGTGATCAAGGCACTAATTTTACCTCACAATTAACTCAAGAATTCGAAAAAAGGTTAGGAACTCATCCTCGTTTTTCGACACCTGGTTACCCAGCATCAAACGGCTCAGTGGAAAAATGGAATCGGGTATTTAAACAAATGTTACATCATGTAATTCGCACAGATCCTGTTAATTGGGACAAGCACATACCTTATTTACTTTTTGCGTATCGTGAAGTTCCAAATTGCACTACCGGTGTATCTCCATTTATGCTTATGTACGGTCGTGAAGCTAGAGGTCCCTTAGCTGTGTTAAAATCATCATGGTCCGGTGAAATACCATTACCTCTTAATCTGAGTAATTCAGCAGTTGATTATCTACAAGAATTAAAGATAAATTTAGAGAAAGCATCTGAGCTCGCTTCTTTATCTGCCGCGGAAAAAAACAAGAAGCTTATGCATATTATTTTAACCGTCGCAAAAGTTTGAAAGAATTTAAAAATGGTGATCTAGTATATTTACTTATACCAGACTCTAGCAACAAGCTATATGCTAGGTGGACAGGTCCAGGTGAAATTGTTGTTGAAAGAGTAAATCCTCATTCTTACAAAGTTAAATTACCCGATGGGAGTGTGAGGCATGTTCATGTGAACAAAATAAGAAAATTTTATGTTCGAGCACAAACTGTGGGAGTGATATTTGAAGATGATTCTGAGTTTGGGGAAATTCATACCACTCCAAATAAAGGAGATTGCGCAGTAACTAGAAGGAACATCGAGGTGGATATTAGTCATTTAGAGGATAGCAAACAAAAGGAATTACACGAGCTCTTACTCAAGCACATCGCGTTATTTTCTGGGGAGATCCAAATAGCCAGCGTTGGTGAACATAGAATTCGGTTGTTACCTGGAGCTGAAAGAAAAAAGCCATATATCTATAAGATCCCAGAATCTTTGAAACCTGAAGTAGATAAACAGATCGAGGAATTGGAGAGCTTGGGTCTTATTGAGCCAAGTGAAGCTGAAATAGCATACCCAGTCGTATGTGTTGCCAAGAAAGACGGAAGTATGCGTTTATGTATTGATTTCAGGTTGTTGAATCAAGTAACCAAGCCTGTTGATTTTCCAATGGAGAATGTGACTGATCTAATCAATAAAATTGGACACGCGAATGTTATCACCTGTTTAGATGTCTTGAAAGGTTACTGGGAAATACCTTTAGAAGAAGAAGAAAGTCGTGATTTGATTTAACATCATTCAAGACACATCGTTCCCAATATCGTTGGAAAGTGATGCCTTTTGGATTAAAAAATGCAGCTTCTACTTTTCAGCGAGTGATGAATGATGCCTTAAGAAAACATAGTGATTTTTGCAAAGCATATATTGATGATATTGCTATCTTTTCACCAGATTGGAATTCGCATCTCAAACATTTAGATGCTGTGCTAACTACATTAAGTGATCTCAGGTTTACGGTGAACGTGAAGAAATGTGTTTTTGCACGTTCGGAGATAAAGTATTTAGGACATATAATAGGAGCTGGAAGACATCAACCTGATCCTGAAAAATTACAAGCCATTGAAATTATAAAAAGTCCTAAAACAAAGACTGCTCTAAAGAGTGCATTAGGCTTATTCAACTA